ATAAGGAGAACTAGAGAAATCTACAACCAAGTGGGAAAATTTCACATTCCTTTCTTATGAACTGATAGAACCAGCCGCTTAAAACTATTAGTGAAGAACGATAATTTGCAAACTTGATCTCGTTAACACAGGAGGAAAATGGTACCTATCAACTGCACATACTCATCCTTTTAAGGAACACATGGAAATTGTTCCAAATATGATGCTGTGCAGAGGCATTATATTTATTTTGTTTTATTTTATTTTATTTTTTAAAAAATAATTGGCTTTTTTTTTTAAAGATTTATTTATTTATTTATACAAGCACTGGGCACAGTCAGAAGCGCGGGAGGGTGAGAGAATTCACCAGAGCCAGAGCGGGGAGCAGAGCAGGCAGAAGGACCAAAGTACACTGCTGAGGGGAGTAGCGGGCGGCAGGAGACGTCTGCGCACCATGTGGGACCCTCGCCTAGCGGCCGGGGATCGAACTGGTGCTGCAGAAGCTGCGGGCAGCTTTGCAACCCAGCGCTCAACCACTGCACCACCGGGGAGGCCCATATTTATTTTAAATAGTGCTTTCTACTTTATTTGCTTCTTTTTATTATTGGTAGATAAAGAAGATATAGGTACTTTCTCAACAGCATGGGGGAAGAAATTTTGGAATTGGTGGAGAAACTAATTTTGCCTCAGAATACAAATCCACATTCCCTTCTGTGCAGTTTAGAAACCCAGAAAGTTCTGAGGATGTGAAGGTGTCTCAAGCATGCTTTGGTGGTCAAACCTGACTGTACATGTTGCTGTTTGCAGTCTTATCACACTTATTCTAAGTAGGGATAGGTGTCAACACAGAACTGACGTTTAATCAGAATGTTATATGCATTGATTCATCTCCCTAAATCCCTCCAATTCTGAATTCTGAAAACTCACTTGCATCTCAGAATTGTACAGGATCTTGAAACCTGTCATCACCTTTAACTTGAGTTCCCTTGCTAGGCTACGTACAGAGACACTCAATGTGAGAATCAGACATGGAAGGGAAAGCTGTTCTAATATGTCTCAACACGAAGTATAAAACCAGTAGAAACTGATCACCTAGAAGTTGAGGCCCAAACTCCACAGTTATTCAAGGATAACTAGGATAATATCAAGCATTATCAAAAGTCTAGGTGTTGACAAAATTATTCACAGAAGTCTCCCAAATGGAAGCAACACAAGTGTCCTTCAATGGCTGAATGGATGACAGTGGCATCTTACTCATCCATGAAAAAGGAATACGGTAAAGGATACCCTACTACAGGGTTAATCTTGAAAATACTGTGTGTTTCCAGACATACAAAGCCACATGTTGTTTGATTCCATTTGTATCAATGGATGACCCTGTGAACAGGTCATGCTTTGCTGCCTCATAATTTTTTGTTGAAAAACTGGACATTCTGAATATTATAATATGGCGACTCCAGCAATTAGATGCCTCCCCCACCTCCACCCCTCACTTTGTTGTTGCTGCTTTTTATGAATTGTAATTGTTTAGTGGCTTTTCTAAGCTTTTTAAAAAAAATCAAGATGGTATTCTTTGTCAGGTGTGGTCAGTATAGTCTCATTCTGTTAGTTTTGTGGTAAGCTAGTGTATTGACAGATGCCTTAAATGCCTGGAGCAAAAAATAAAAGCCAAAACCAAAACACAACACACCAATCTCCCAGTCTTTGCAGTTGGGTTCTGAGCACTGGGACTGGCCTTTAGCACTCAGACCCTGCCTTCCTTTTCACTTCCTACTTGCACAGAATGAAGGTCGGTCAGGGGTGAGAACTGTGTCTTATCAGGTCTTGTCTGAGCATGTGGCTGCCCTGGGCCCATGGCTTTCTAGATTCCCTGAACTATGCAGGTTTCTCTTTTTCTCTCTGTAATTGACCAAAGTCCACAGTTTACTTTAGGGTTCACTCTTTGTGTTGTATAGTTCTGTGGTTTTCGACTATTGTATGATTTCATGTAACTGTTGTTAGAATATCTTACATAAGAGCTTCACTCTCCTGCCCCAAACCCTTCCTATATTTACCTCATTATCCCTTCTCCCTTCCCCAGAACCTTGACAACCACTGGTCTTTTTACAATCTCTAAGTTTTGCCTTTTCCAGAATTTCATAGAGTGACAAATCATATAATAGACAGCCTTTTCAGACTGGCTTTTTTCACTTAGCAATATGCATTTAAAGGTCCTCAATGTCTTTCTGTGGCTTGATAGCTCCTTTTGATCATTGAATGATATTCCATTGTATGGATGTACCACAGTTACAGCTTGTTTATCCATTCTTCCGTTGACACTCATTTGCTTCCAGCAGTTAGGAGTAAACTGCTGTAAACGACTTGTGTGCAGGTTTTGTGGAGACAGGTCTTCAACTCATTGCTGCAATAAATGTTAACATGTTGTTAAGCTTTGTGAGAAATACCAGTGTGAAAGCTTTTCAAAACCCCTGTTCCCCAAAGCACCTCACTCTCCAGCTATTCCTCCCCAGCTTTCCTGCCTGTTTTTGCCCCAGTTAATATTTTCTGTCCAAGCAGCAATGACTGGTTTATGCCCTTTGATATTTTCAGCAGATGCCCTCCCTACAGCTACTTTTCCCCATGAGAGAATTTTAAGTTAGGCAAAATAGAGGCAGGACCTTTGTATTAGACTTCAGGAATCATCTGGCTCAATGTCAAGACAAACCCCTGTTCCTGAGAACAGGATCCTATCCCTGTTCTCTCCTCCACCAGGAACCCACAGGGTTCCTGCTGTCTTCCAACCCACTGAGGAGCTGAGGAGGTAGTGGGGAACAGGGCAGGGGTAAGCTACAAGACCTCTGAGCTCTCCTATCAAATTTCATTCACCTTTTTCTTGATAAGCTTTCACTTGGTTGGTGTGAGCCTTTAGCACCTTTCCAGAGTTCTGATAAAGTTGACATTTTCAGTATTTCTGTGGTGCACAGATGGGACGTTTTCTAATTCAGGGCCTCCCCGGTGGTGCAAGAGGTTAAGTCTCAGCACTGTGAAGCTATTGGCAGCCACTGCAGCAGCAGCATGAGCTGGAGTTCAATCCTGGCCAGGGACCTGACCCACATGGCATAGCAGACCTCTCCTGTTATGCCTGCTGCTCCCCTCAGCAGTGTATTTCAGTCAGTCTGTCTGTTCTGCTCCCCACTCTGTCTCTGGTGAATCCTTTAACCCCCCTGCACCTCTGGCCTACACCCCAGCTCTTATACATAAATAATTTAAAAAATTTTTTAAAAATTACTAATCCAACCTTTATTCTTTTTATAGGTGTATTTCAGATAGTCTGTTTCCTTTTCTGTCAATTTTTTGGTGTTTTTTTATTCCCTCCTTTGGTATCTTTCTCAGAATTTGTATCTAAGTTATCTAATTTCTTGGCACCAGTAATCTCTTTAGGCCTTGCCAACATCTGTATTGCTCCTTCTGGAATACTAGTTTTCCTGAGTGTTGAGTTTTGTGTTGATTCCTGCCTTTCCTTCATCTGCTGCTGGTGTTATTCTGCTCTTCTAACCTCATTTCTGTGAGATGTTTGCCATCAGGCTAGTTATCATTTCTTTGTATACCATCTCCCTCTTCTTTCTAGAGGTTTTTAGGGTTTTCTCTTTGTCTTCAGTGTTCTGCAGTTGTCTGATTGTATCGGGGGGTGAATTCATTTTTATTTATCCCTGTCTGGTCTTGTAGAGCTTGGTCTTATTAACCATGTGTCTTTAAGGCCCACATCTTTATATCTGGGCTCATGTGTTTCTGCAGTTGGAAATTTCTCCACCACTGTCTCTTTAGATACCATCTCTTATGTTCTTTCCTTTTTCTCACAAGCTGTATCTTAGACTTTTGCATTTGCTCCTCCATTTGTATTTTCTCAACTTTTCGTTCATATTTTCCATTTCTTTATCTCTGTACTGAATTCTGGGGGGATTTCCTCAGCTTGTTCTGCCAGTTCATTTTCTTCCTCTTCAGCACTGTTTAATATTTAACCCTTCCCATGGGTTTTAATTAATTTAAATGTCTTTCATTTCTAGAGGTTCTCTGTGTTTCTGTTGTTAGAAACATATTTTTATCTCACAGTGATCTAGTCTTTTAAGTTTTGTTATCTCATTGTCCTATATATTTTTTTTTCTAGTGCTGGGATGCTTCTGTAGGTTTATGTGCAGTTTTTCTCTCCATTTATTTAGTTTTCCTGCAGATGACATGGTTCTTCCAGAGTCCCAGGTCTCCATTTCCTGTGAACACCTGGCCATATTCCCTTGATGGCCCCAGACCCCAGACTCCAGGGTAATGCTCTTTAATGGAAATATGATATGAGCCACTATATATGTTAGAATTTTCTAGTTGTTTAATTAAAAAGGAAAGTGGCAGATGCCAATAATTTTAATATATTTAATCTACTCTATCTGAAATATTAATATTATCATTTCAACATGTAATCAATGTAAAAACATATTCTTACTGTCCATAGTCCTCCAAATCCAGCATGCACTTCACACTCACAGCACATCTCACTTGGGGACCAGTCGCATGTGCTTCATGACCACACAGGACTAGCGGCCATCATATTGGATGACAGCTCCAGACTCTGCATCTGAATCTGACTCTCCCATTGGGACTACTTGAGTTCATAGGCCTGGCTTTGAGTTTTCTCAGTGTTGCTGGCACTTGGGGTCTTACCGCTGTTTTGAGCTTGGCTATGTATTAGAAATGTTCTTTTGTCATAAGTCTATGTGTTTATGGCTGGGAAAAGAGGTCAGTCCACCTCTTCCCACTGTTGTGGGAAATCCTTTAATTCCTTCCTTAGAAGTCTAATGATGGAGGTACCCTGATGCCCAGTTTACAGATGAGGAGGTAGGCTACTGGAGCTTAAGTGACTTACCATGGTCACATGGCTGCTGAGCGGCAGAGAACTGTCTCAGGAACAGATCTGCTTGATTCCAGGCCACTGTTTTTGTCCTTCATGCTGTATTCCCATCTCATAATTTTGATTCCTCATCATTGCTTTTCAGGAGTTCTAAACCTCAAGAGCACTTTCCTCGACTCCTTACCCAGCCTAGCTCCACGGGAGAGAGCTCTTGGTTACAACCTGGCAGTAGAAAGCCATGGACCAGTACAGCTTGGGGGATGAGGGCACCCTTCCATCAGAGATGCATCTCCCTTCGTTTTCTGAGAGCCAGGGGCTCAACTGCAGCGACACCCTCAACCGGGACCTGGGTCCCAGCACGCGAGACCTGCTGTACTCTGGCCTGGGTAGTTTGGACCTGGATCCCAGCCTTCCAACACCCGACGTGCCTAGTGAGGCACTGGAGGACAACTTAGATGCCCTGTCCCTGTACTCAGGAAAGGACAGTGACTCCGTGAAGCTGCTGGAGGAGTATGCAGATCCGGAGTCTCAGACTTCCTTACATGGTGAGCCTGTCTCCCTGAGCCCGAGGGCCTGGAGGGTTGAGAGGGAGTTCTGTGGTCACCAGGGGTGGAATCTGTTTGGACCGATTAAGGAAAAGTTTCTCTTACACAGGTGAATAGGGACCAGTCACTTTTTTCCTACTTGGGAATTGTTCCCAACTTACTAGTTCAGGAAACTGAACCCTGAGCCTCGGGGAAAATGTTGGGAAACTTGGATGTTTGGGGATATTCTAATCTTTTGTGGGATGTGGGTAGGCCTTTGAGTTGATGGAGGTATTGTTATTACCCACACCTCACAATCTCTTCACATTTCCAGCACTGGGCAAACGAGGAGTTTTTAAACAAAATTGTTAGAATTAATCTCAGATGTTGCGTTGATTCAGTGCCAGGTCTTTCTCTTCAGCAGTAGAGGAGCGAGGGGACAAAGGGTGGAGCAGGTGAAGAACTTGATATCCGTTTAGTTTGCCTTCAGACTTCCCACACACAATAAATTTTTTTCTTTTTTCTTTTTTTCTTTTTACTTTCTCCTTACATTGTCTGGTAAGTTGTTTAAGGGGGTTGACTGAGCCAGAACAGTCTGGTATTTATAACCACACCACGTGCATGGAAAGCCACATGTGAAACAACCCTGCAAAACAGATATTAACCTTAATTGGTACAGGCAGCTCAAGAAACATCCTGAGCACTTGCTAGAAAGAAAAACCTTCGACGACTCCCCCACTCCACACAAGATGTACTAGAAAAGTCATTAGCCGGGTGGGAAAAGGAGGGCTTGGGGTCAAAATAAGAGGGTTGTAATTGTATGGGGAATATAACAATAAAATTTATAATTTAAAAAAAATAATAAAAGTCATTAGCCTTGTCGCCTTGTGGGGGTAATAGCTAATCTGACACCCTGGAATCAGTGGGTGTGTCCAGAGCTTCTGTGCTGTCCTAAGCACTGGGCCAGGCCTCGGGGTACAGAAGTCAGGATGCTCAACCCAGGCCAAAAGAACTGCCTGAAAATTGCTGGTAATGTGCATATGTGCGTATTTTGACGGGAAGAGAAATTCATAGGAATTTCAATATTATGTATGATTCGTTAATCTAGTTCACTTTCTCCTAATTTGTTTTCAACTTAAATTGTTTATCTTATAAGAGAAAGGAATCAACTGAACATTATATTTTGTCACTTTATACTTCTCTAACTTAATTCAGATTCATATAGATGCATATGTTTATGTTGGTTTTTCAAATTAGAAGGGTAAATTAGAAAATAAAAGTAATTAACAAGAAAAATCCCTCTCTTGGCTCCCACACAGAGGTTTTTAAAAACATGGGTGAAACCACACAAAGGTTGTTTTGCAGAGATGTGTTAGTGCTATTCGAAGTTTTAAAAACCTATTTGCTTTCTTTACAAGGGTAGACCATTCAGCTTTACAATAAAAGCTGCTCCACTGTATTGTCAAGACACACTTACCCTGTTCACCAGGGAGCCTGCCCTGGTGGAGAGTGTACACACACTTACACACTCATATGTGTTAGAACTCTGTTTTCAGGGGACGATCTAGTGGCTTTTTGGGACAACTCTGTTTGCCTATTTTCAGTGTCCTTTCCAATTTTTGGAAAACATTTTGTTTTCTGGTTACTTTAATGAGCATTTTTAGAGTAACTTAGCAAGACTAGGACTTGCTCCCTGAGGGAGTTCTGTTTTTCCTCATTTAAAGCTTTTGGCATCATTCCACCACTTGTCACTGTCATTTCAAGCTGCTGAAGAACAGGCAAGTGACAGAATGCCCCAGGTCAGAGACACAGTTGGGATGAGGGTCGGGCCTCTGAACTGCCAGTCCAGCTTCCTCACTCAATGTCTCTCACACCACCTCGAAGCCACAGAGAATTAGAATGCTGGGCCCGGTGTTGCTTCCCTTCCCAGACCCTGGCCTGTTGGGTTCTTGGATGCCACTTCTGCAGCATCTTGGTTAAATGGTGGTTTGTAAACTGGCCCATGAGGCAGTAAACTCATGAGGCAGTATCAGCCATCATGAAGACCCACCAAGTGGCTGGGAAAAACCTGCTGTGACTCATTCACCCAACTATCCAATATTGAGTGCTCCTGAGTGTCAGCATGGGGTTCTAGGAGCCAGGAACCCTGCGGCGAGCGTGCAGCATCCTCCTGTCCATGGCCCTCGTTGTTTTACATAGCTCCCCTTTAGTCACCAAACCCTACTGTGTCTCTAGGAGCAAAACAGAAGAATCTGTCCCCTCTACACACTGGCCCTGCAGGCATGAGATCATCTCCCCTGTCCTGCCTGTGCACTCCCACATCCTTCACCTGTTCCTCAGGTGACATCATTTGAAGGAACACCTGTGAAACAGAAAACATGGAAACTTCCAGATACACAGGAAAAGGAAAATAAAAATGACCCAGAGTCTGAACTGTCAGTCCCATTCTCTCATTTTGTTTTCTTTCAAATTCATTTTTTGTTTCAAAGACTGGGGTCATTTTGTCTTGCAACAGATTTTTTTTCTTTAGTACTACATGAATATCCTTTCATGTCACCAGATATTTTTCTCCAGTTTTATCTAAAATGTTTATGTCCATGACCATTTACTATATAGTAACCTTCTTGTGGGATGCTAGGTGGTCTCCCATATCTCACCAGGAAAAGCAGTGCTGCCTTTAAAACTCCCTTGCAATGAACTCTTATTGCAAATTGACATTTCCTTCCTTAACTTAGAAACCCCAAAGTGGAAAGAATTGCTCGCAGAAAGGATTAGGCTTTTCTAAAGTCTTGGGTTGCATATTCCTGGATCACCCTTCTGGAAGTGTCCCTTGGATGCTGGAATCCAAGGGGTCACCTTGTCCTAGAATGTCTCAGACTGCTGCTGCTCCCTGACTGTTCCCCAAATGGGGTGCCATCCTGCAAGTGTTGCCTGGTCCTCCCAAGTCATGTTTTCTGTGCAGGACGAGCTGTCAACGTGGGAAGACACGCACTGTTCTTGGCCTCCCCTTCCCAAGTGTGAGCTAGTAGTGAGTGTCATGTGATAGCTCAGCGACTTCCCGCCCTTAACCTGTGCCTTTTCCTTCTGTTTAGAACTGGGACTAGGCTCGCTTAAGATGCCTAAAGAGGCTGATGAAGGAGGCAGGGCTGCCTCTGGGAGTGCGAGGAAAGGAAAGCGGCAGCACAGCTCCCCTCAGAACCCACTTCTGGACTGCAGCCTCTGTGGGAAGGTGTTCAGCAGCGCCAGCTCTCTTAGCAAACACTACTTGACGCACAGCCAGGAAAGGAAACACGTTTGCAAAATCTGCAGCAAGGCCTTTAAACGTCAGGACCACCTGTATGTAGGAGTCTGTTCAGAAACTGCCTGTTCAGGGGGTTGGGGGGGGCGTGGGTGTGTCCCTGTGCCTATCCCTCCCCCTGTGCCCCCATATGGGTCAGGTTTCCCACTTCCTCAGTCTCCAGATGTGTGTAGACACACTTGGCTGTGGACTCCATTCTTGCACTGCCAGGCCCCCAAATTCACTCCATCGAGGGAATCGCTGTTGGTCTTGTGGTTCAGCTGTACATCATGGCTCGCTCCCCCAGCAATTAATCATGGAGAGAATTGGGCTAATTTTCTGGAGAAACAGTTCCTGGCGCAGGTCTGAGGAGAACAGATCGGCATCCAGGAGGACCCTGTACTGAGATGATGGGACAGGGAAGATTCTGAGATGCCTGGCGCTAGACTTGGTGGTGGAACTTTTTTTTTTTTTAATTCTTCATTTTAGAAAGAAAACCCATCATAAGAAATAGGAAAAGAGTTCCATTTGTTCTTAATGTCTTGGGGAATAAGCTTTTTTGCTAGTGATGAAGGAAAGACAGCGTTTTATCAAACCTAGAGACTTGCAGGTGGGACATGGCACGGCTTGCATTCCACCATGCTTCTAGCCTTTCCAGAGAGCTTTGGTGAATCTGACTTCATCTTCTCTTCTGACCTCCCACTACCCAGGGCAGGAAAGTCATTTGCTCAAGTAACAGTTGGGAGATTATAAATTAGGTCTCATGATTCCTCCTCTGTTGCTTTCCTCAGATGGAAGCCAAGGGCCAACCTTTAGTGACAGGCTTTGTTAAATGGAACATGCCCCAAGTGTCACGTTTATTAGAACCATCCAGAAAAGGACAATAGGCAACTTAGGGATTGGTTTACTCACTTATAGCATACTAATGTAGGTATAAGCATGCTATGCATATGAAACGTATTTGTGCTCATTTGTATTTTCAGAAATTATGGGCACATTTAACGTTTAGTAGAAAGTTTTTGCTGATTAGGCATCTGTCAATTTTGTTTTCTTTCCCTGCTGTGGGGATCCCAGATAGCTTTCCCCGTAGAGGACTCTTAAAAAAAAAAAGATTTATTTATTTATACAAGAACTGGGGTACAGGTCAGAGGCGCGGGAGGGTGAGAGAATTCACCAGAGACAGAGTGGGGAGCAGAACAGGCAGACGGACCGAAGACACTGCTGAGTGGAGCAGCGGGCAAGACAGGAGAGGTCTGCTGCGCCATGTGGGTTTCTCCCTGACCGGCGGGGAATCGAACCTGTGCTGCAGAAGCTGCGGACAGCTTCACAGCGTGGCGCGCCACCAGGGAGGCCCCCCTTAGAGGACTGTTATGGAAAGGTGAAGACTCCTTTGTTCAAGGATGGGTCATCCCCAGGCTCGCCTTTCCTCAAGTGCATTCTGTAGATCTTTGGTTGTCAGGGATGCTGAGCAGAGCTTTTTGCAAAAATCTGTTCCATGGGCAAGTAAGTTTGAGAGACGTGGAGAGTCAAACAGAGTTCTGTCTATTCACTCTATGAGGCTTTGCAATTTGTTGTGTAACCCTCCAAGGAGCAAATGGTGTTTTCAACCTTATTTGCCAACTGAGCCCAAGTCCTCAGGGAGCAGCCCTGGAGGACTAGTGTTCCTTGGAAACCCACTTTGGAGAACTGTGGTCTGGCTTCCATAGATTTTGTTTTTCTCGCATGAGGGGTCTGCCTAAAAGTGAGGGAGAGGAGTCCGCCTTCTAGATTGCCCCAGCAGGGCCTTTTGGGGGGTAGAGCCCTGTTTCTGAATGGTGCTACTGAGGCATCGCTGCCCTGTGGTGTTGGGGAGCCTTGTGCTGGGGGGTGCCTGCTAACTTCCTTCTTGTGTGTGACTTCAGGACCGGGCACATGCTCACCCACCAGAAGACCAAGCCCTTCGTGTGCATCGAGCAAGGCTGCAGCAAGAGTTACTGCGACTACCGCTCTCTGCGCCGCCACTACGAGGTCCAGCATGGCCTGTGCATCCTGAAGGAGGCCCCCTCAGAGGAAGAAGCCTGCGGGGACTCCCCCCACACCCATGAAGCGGCTGGTCAAGCAGCAACTGGTGGTGTACGGGCCCTGGTCTCCCCGGAAGCCAGGTCGCCCGGCTCCCTATTACCCAACCGAGACCTACTTCGCTGTATCGTGAGCAGCATCGTCCACCAGAAGATTCCTTCTCCTGGCCCAGCCCTGGCAGGGCCTTCAGACAGCAGTGAAGGGAGGAACGTGGCCTGTCCCTGCCCACCCTCATCAGGGTCCTGCACCCCAGCCAGTGTTCCCATGGCCTCAGGAACCCTGGGCCCTGAAGTTCCTGAGGAACCCCATCCCCTGTGGAAGGAGTCAGCAGCTGATGGGCTCACCACTGTCCACTCCAGGGCAGCAGAGAATGGCGGCCCTGAGCGAGCAGAGTCGGAGCCTCCCCTGCTCCAGCTCCCATCCACCCTGGAAGGCTGGCCCGAGGGCAGCCCTCTGCCTGCCTGTCTGCCTCTGTTCCGAGGCCAGACAGTTCCTACTGGTCCACAGTCTTCTGGCCACAACTTCCAGTGGCTCCGAAACCTGCCAGGCTGCCCCAAGAGCAAAGGGAGCAATGTGTTCGTGGTCCACAAGGCCCCTGGCGTGCCACCCCGTGAGGGCTCTGAGTCTGGCCCCGCGCCCAGCAGCGCCTCTCCTGAGGGGCAGCTCTCACCCAGGTCCGGCCCCAGTCTGGAGGACTCCCTTCTCTTACCCCCCACACACCTGAAGGCACCCGGGGAGGCCTTGGGAGACCCTAGATATGCAGGTGGGGAAGACGCCATGTGGGCTTCTAAGAAAAGCAAGTTTGACTGCGACTCCTTCTCCTGGCAGAACCCGGGGGAGCCAGGGCTCCAGGATGCCCAGAAGTCCAGTGGGCTCCCATCGGATGCCACACCGCTCTTCCGGCAGCTGTTCTTGAAGTCTCAGGAGTCTCTGATGAGCCATGAGCAAATGCAAGTGTTCCAGATGATCACCAAGTCCCAGCGAATCTTCTCCCATGCCCAGGTGGCTGCGGCTTCCTCCCAGCTGCCTGGGCCGGAGGGCAAGCAGGCCACCTTGAAGCCACTGCAGGGGCCGTGGCCTCCGCAGCCCCTGCCACTGACTTCTTTGGCTGATTCTCTTCATGCTGATCCTGGAAACCCAGAGCTTGAGGGATCCCCGGCCCGCCGGAGGAAAACCACATCTGCGTTTCCCAAAGAGGCTTCTCCTGGCAGCAGCTGGCGTGATGCTAAGGGAGGACCAAAAGTGGGCCCTGCTCCACCATCCCTCTCAGCGTCAGCTCTGGACCCTCCCGGGAATCCCAACATCTCCTCTCTGGCCAAGCAGTTGAGATCCATGAAAGGGACCTTGGACCTGGGGGACATCTTCCCCTCCGGGGGCCCACGGCAGGCCTTGTTGGGTGGGGATGAGCCACCAGGCACCCAGCTCCCTGGGAAGCAGGCCCAGGCTGAGAATGGCTTGGCCTCTGGAACCATGAAAGGTGAAAAAGGCACAGCATGCTCCCGGGGAGGAGGTTACAGGCTCTTCTCCGGCAACCCCAGGGCTCAGCGTTTCTCAGGCTTCCGTAAGGAGAAGGTGAAGATGGACATGTGCTGTGCGGCTTCTCCCAGCCAGGTAGCCATGGCTTCCTTCTCCTCTGCCGGGCCCCCAGTGGATGCCCCCCGGGACTCCAAGTCCAAGTTGACGATACTCAACAGAATCCAGGTATCTGCCCTCCTGGGACCCAGCCCAAGTGAAGCCAGGCCCTCCTCGTTTCTAATGTCACCATTTACTGGTGGTCCAGGTGCTTCAGTTAAATCTCAGTGAACCCTCAGGTGCATTTTTATAGAGGAGGAAATGAGGGTTCAGAGAGATGGTGGAGTGGCCTTCTGGGTCTGGCTTCTTCCCCTAGCATCATGCTGTCATGGTGCATCTTCCGTGGGGCCAGGATCACAAATTTGTGCTTTTTTATTGTCGGATCATAGTCCTGAACATGCATCATGTTCTGTTTCTTCATCCAGAGGTCACAGACATTGGGGTGGTTTCCAGTTTTGGGCCATCACATATAAAACTGCTGAGAACATTGTGTTCTGAGGTTTTTGTGATGATGTGTGTTTTAATTTCTCCTGAGAAATACCTAGGAGAGGAAGCTCTCCTCCGCCCATTTTAGGCTGTTACACTGTTTTCCAGCACAGCAGCATTGGGTCACCTCCCCACCCACTGTGTGTGAGGCCCCACAGTGTCCTCAGTACTTGTTACTGTCCTTTTTAAATTCTAGCCACCTGGAGGGAGTGATGTGTCCTGTTCATGCTGGTTTGATTTGCATTTCCCTGGTAACTGGTGATGCCGAGCATCTTTTTATGTGCTTATTGGCCATCAGTCTGTGGGGAAGTATCTGTTCAGATCTTTTGTCCTTTAAATTGGGTTGTCGGGGCCTCCCCGGTGGCGCAGCGGTTGAGCGCTGGGTTGCGAAACTGCGCGCGGCCTCTGCGGCGCCGGTTCGATCCCCGGCTGCTCCCCGGCCACCGGAGGAGGATCCCACATGGCGTGCAGACCTCTCCTGCCGCCCACTGCTCCCCTCAGCAGTGTACTTCGGTCCTTCTGCCTGCTCTGCTCCCCGCTCTGGCTCTGGTGAATTCTCTCACCCTCCCTCCCGCACTTCGGACTGTACCCAGTGCTTGTATAAACAAAACAAACAAACAAACCAGCAAACAAATAAATAAAGCATGCCTCTATTAAAAAAAAAAAAATAAAAAATAAATTGGGTTGTCTTTTTTTTTTTTCCAAAAAATTTTTTAAAGGTTTATTTATTTATTTATACAAGCACTGGGTACAGTCAGAAGCGCAGGAGGGTAAGAGGATTCACCAGAGCCAGAGCTGGGAGCAGAGCAGGCAGAAGGACCGAAGTACACTGCTAAGGGGAGCAGTGGGTGCGCCATGCAGGACCCTCCTCTGGTGGCCAGGGAGCAGCCGGGGATCAAACCAGCGCTGCAGAGGCTGCGGGCAGCTTTGCAACCCAGCGCTTAACCACTGCGCCACCGGGGAGGCCCTAAATTGGGTTGTCTTTTAATTAGTGAGCTGTTGACATTTTTTAGGTATTTGTAAATAAATCTTTTGCCAGATATAAACCTTATAACTTTTTTCCCTCATTCTATGACCACTTTTCTTGTCATGTCTTTTGAAGTACAAAAGTTTTAAATTTGGATGAATCCAGTTTGTTCTGTCTTATGTTTGGTTTTGGTGTCAAGCAAGAAACTATGGCCAAATCCAGTATTGTAAGGTGATGTTAGCTTTTTTGTATTTTGTGTTTTTTTTTTTCTTTGACAGTCTTACAGTTTTAGCTTTTGCACACCTCATTTCCAATACATTTGCTCAGATGTGTTTTCATCTTCAGGGTGGAAGTATCTACAGGCTTCCCCATCAGATGAAGGAGGAGAGCGTGGCAGGAGGATGGTGAGTTCAGAAGCCCCTACCCAGCAACCTGGCAGCTCACCCCTCGGGAGTCCTCTGGTGGCTGTTCTCTGCTGGCCCTGAGTGCTTCGAGTCCTAAAGAGGCCTGCACCAGGCCATGAAGAACTGGGATATCATCTTCATGTCCTGGGGTTCATCAAGAGTTGTCAGTAAATCAGATTTAAAAAGGTAGAAGCAAGGCAACAGTGATTGGGGACGGGTTCCAACTTACCACTTCTTCCTTTCTGCCTTGTCTCCCTGCAGTAGCCAGCAAAATGGGGTCCCTCCAGACTGGGTGGAGTCAAGGAGCACTTTTGTCTGCAAGAACTGTAGCCAGATGTTCTATACGGAGAAAGGACTGGGCAGCCACATGTGTTTTCACAGCGACCAGTGGCCATCACCCCGAGGGAAGCAGGAGCAGCAGGTGAAGGGGGTGCACGCAATAGGTTCTCTGCTTACAGGGTTGCTGACAGGCTTTGGGGAGTACACAGCTGGTGGTTGTCGTGATGGGGCCGTTCTCCCAGGGGAACTTGGGGAGGGGTCCAGGGGTCAGGGCTATTCTGGCCCGGGCTCAGGCTGCAGAGGCCCTTCTGCTCCCTGCCTGCTGTTTCTCTTAAAGAGCAGTCTGTTCTCTGTGTTTAGGTGTTTGGCACAGAGTTTTGCAGGCCAGCAAGACAGGTACTGCAGCCAGAGGGGGATGGGCAGAGCCCCCTAGGAGCCAAGAAGGCCTTGGACAGCACAGCCACAGCCTCAGCCTCTTTGGTGATCCCTGTGGCTCCAGCCAGCCGGCCCCTGGGGAACTCGGCCAAGGTGGGTGCTCACCAGCCTGAGGAAGCTGTGGGAGAAGCTCAAACCCAGCACCATGGAGAATCCTGACTGCAGAAGAGCTTGCTTTGCATGTTTGTTCAGTTATTTGACATTCACTGAGTCACCTCTGTAGCTGGCCCTGTGCTGGGGACACAGTAACAGATATGCCAGCCCCAGCCTTAACTCCTGGGGCTCGCAAAGAACCAGGAGAGGACTGAGCCAGCCGAGGAAGTCAGAAAGGTATTCCTGGAGGAGGGATATTGGAGCTGAGACCTGGAGGGTGAGGAGTAGGATTGGCAGAATGGAGGGGAGCATGTGTAGAGGTGAAACAGAGGGTTGTCATTTATAGTGCTCAGTCTGTTCTCCTATGCTAAAAGATCCCACCCGGAGAAGGATGTGCTGACTCCAGGACAGGAGGCATGAATCCAAAGGGCTCTGTTGGTCTCACAGGAGCTGTTGTCATTTTGAGAACAGTTTTTAATTTTTTCACGTGGTGATTCTGCGTCTCTAACAGATGCTCTGTCAGTGCCAGGCAGTTTAACTATGGAAGCTGTCCTCATACTGTTCTAAAACCCCAACTCTCGGTCTCCGAGGGGGTGCGAGTGCATGAGAAGGCTTCAGGCTCGGTATCTTGGGTCTGGCAAAGGCCTCTGTGCTGAGGGCTTGGGGCACACACAGGCTGGGGATGCATGTCATGCATCCTTCCGCCTCTGAGGTCAAGACACTGGTCCTGTTCTGGTCCATCTTGAAGACTGGCCTGGGCGATCGGGGACCTCAAGTGAGCCCTGGTGGTTCTGAAAGCCCCTCTTCTCCAGGGACAAGAGAAAGACAGGGAGGAGAGAGACATCAAGGACAGCAACCAACATAGAAAGCGGAAGAAGCGGTCCCAGCCCAAGTCACTGTTCCTTCCTCCGGCACCAGTGACGATTGGGGAGCCAGGTCCGGGAGGATGCCACCAGAGCTGCCTGCGGTCCCCAGTGTTCCTAGTGGACCACCTCCTGAAGGGATTGTTCCAGTGCTCTCCTTACACACCACCCCCCATGCTGAGCCCCATCCGGGAGGGGTCTGGGCTGTACTTCAACACTCTGTGTTCCACATCTGCGCAGGCTGGGCCTGACCAGCTCATCAGCACCGTGCTTGGTGAGTGAGGCTGGGCTGGCACACTGATCTGTCACACAGTGGCCTGTTGGGAACCACCACCAGTTCTCTAGCCTATGACTGTGCTTGGTCTAGGGGTCCTTTTGCCATCTAGAAGTATCCCAGGACAGTCTTGGCACCTAGAATTTTACAGTCAGAATGTGCCTACCACCCTTCTACCTGTTCTGTAGAATTTTCAAAAAACCTCATTATTATTCACATACCTTAGGAGTCACTCATGTAAAGCATACAGTGCAACTACCACACAATCTTATTTTAGTGCATTTTCTTCACCTAGCAGAACCCCATAGCCATTACACTCACACCCCCCACCACCACCCCCACACCATGGCCCCATAGCTCCCATTCTGCCAACCCTGGGAACCATCATCTACTTCCTCGCTATGGAGTTTCCTGTTCTACACTTTTCATGTAACTAGAATCATACCACACATGATGTTTTATTTATGTCTCACGCTTCATCCAGCATTCTGGTTTCAAGCTTCAGCCTGGATCAGTGCCTGAGTCCTTGTCATGGTTTGGCCTTGACCTGTTGTTTGGACAGACCGTGTTTGTATTTACCCATTAATCAGAGGATGGACATTTGTCTCTGCTTATTGCCTTTTGTGAATAATACTGCTGTGACTACTCATCTACAGGTGTTTGTTGGACAGATGTTTTCCTTCCTCTTGGGTAAATACTTAAGAGTGGAATTGCTGGATCATACGGCAACTACTTTTAACTGTTTAAGGAACTGCCAAACTGTTTTCCAAAAAGACTGAGTCATTTTAAATTCCCATCAGCATTTGTGTGAAAGTTCTGATTTTACCAGTCTTGCCAATATTTAAATGGTCTTTATTACAACCCTTCTAGTAGAGTGAAATGGTGTCTCATGGTGATTTTGATTTGCATTTCTCTGATGGCTAATGATGTTAAGCATCTTTCTATTTGTACCTCTAAGAAAAAAGATCTCTTCAGGTCCTTGGCCCATTAAAAAAATTGAGTTATCTTTTTATCGTATTGTGAAAGTTTCTTATAATTCTGGATGCAAATCCCTGATCAGATACATGATTTACAACCATTCTCTCCTACGTTGTCTGTTGTCTTTTCATTTTATTTATGGTATTTTTTTATAGTAGAAAGATTTTTCATTTTGATGAAGTCCAGTTTACTGATCCTTTCATCAGTTGTGCTTTTGATGTTGTATCTAAGTCTTTACATGACCACGGGTTGCAAAGATTTACTTCTCTGTTTTCTTCTAAGAGTTTTACAATTTTTCACATTTAAGTTTTGACCTATCTCAACTTTTGTATGTTGTGTAAAGTAGGGGTTCATTCTTTTGCATATGGATATACAGTTATTGTAGCACCATTTGTTGAAAAAATTTTTTTTCCATTGAATTGTCTTGGAATCACCATATGTGATTTAAGATCTTTCTTTTCAGATACATTTACAGCAACAGATTGCTCTCTGAGTACTACATTAGCGGCAGCTCATAAATTTTATTATTTTGCATTCTTTTATTTACTCATCTCAAATTATTTTCTAACTTACTTGATTTCTTTGATACATTGATTATAAAGGAATGTGTTGTTTAATTTCCACATATTTGTGAATTTTCCAAATTGCCTTCTTATATTGGTTTGTTATTCGATTATGGTCAGGGAACATACTTTATGTGTATTCAGTCCTTTTTAAATTTATTGAGGTAGGTTTTATGGACTAGAATGTGTTCTGCCCTGGACAGTGTTCCATGTGCTGTTGAGAAGAAGGTGTTTACCTGGTGTTGAATAGAATGCTCTAGAGATGTCTGTTATGTCTAATTAGTTCATAGTGTTGTTCAAGTCTTTTATTTTCTTGTTGGCCTTCTACCTGCTTTTGTCTTATCCGTTATTGAAAGTCTTGAAATCTTCAACCATTACTTTTTGTTTATTTCATCCTTCAGTTCTGCCAGCTATTATTTCATGTATTTTTGGACTCTTTTCAGTTACATTTATATTTATAATTGTCTTATCTTTCCAATACCTTGATCTTTTATTACTTTGACATGATTATTATAACATTTATCATTATGATAATTTTAGTTTTAGTTATTTCTAGTAACTAGGGTAACTAGTTATCTCTAGCCTCAAAATGACCCATCTCTGTTATGGTGGTGGTTTGCTTAGTATATATTTCTTTGCTCTTACCGTCAGCCTATTTGTGCTTTAAAAATAAGTGCATCGGGGGCCTCCCTGGTGGTGCAGTGGGTTAAGTCTCAGCACAGGGAAGCTATCAGCAGCCAGGGTGGGGGACTGACCCACATGGCAAGGCAGACCTCTCCTGTCTCCCTACTGTTCCCCTCAGCAGTGTATTTCATTCGATCCGCCTGTTTTGCTCTCCATTCTGTCTCTGGTGAATCCTCCTAGCCCACCACCCAACACCTCTGGCCTCTACCCCAGTTCTTGGATGCATAAATAAAATAAATCTTTTAAAAAAAATAAAGTGTGTCACTTATAGACGCATTAATTGGGTTTATTTTTTATACACTCTGACAAGCTCTGCCTTATGATTGGTTTGTTAAGTACATTTCCATTTAATGTTATATTAATATAGCATAATATATTATAAAAAATATAATGATGTGGTTGGACTTACAATTACCATTTTTTTACCATTTTGCTTTTTATTTTTGTATGTCTCATCTTTTTCTCCCTTGTGTTCCTCCTTCCCTCCTTTTTTTTAAGTGAAAAATTATTTTATGTTCATCCGCATAATTTGTTCCTCAAGTAAATATCCATGGGTCAGTCACCCAGTGCCAGCAATGAACTGGTGAAATTTCCTGTGAGCAATATTTAATTTTTTCTGGTTGTACTTTGGGGAGAGGTTTATTAAAACCTCCCTATTCTACCATGTTGTAGGTGAGTGCATATTTTTAATTGTAATATTTCAATTATTTCCATTTCCCATTCTCCCCCTCCCCCACTGGCAACCACTTTTCCATTCTTTGATGATATGAATTTGACTGTTTCAGATACTTTACCTAAGTGGAATCATGCAATATTTCTCTCCTCTGTGAAAGGCTCCTTTCATTTCACATGATGTTCTTTAGCCTGATTTTGTCCCATGATGCAGAATTACCTTTTATTGTTTCCAATTTTCTACTACTGCTTCTAGAATAAATCCTGGATGCTATTCAGGGGCCTTGCAGCTCCTTGTCCTGACATGTCTTTTCCTCCACCATGCTTTTATCTTTCCTGCATGCCCTAGCTTCCCCTCACAAAGTTACTTCTCCCCCAAAATGCAATGACACTTTACATCTCCACAATTTTTATCCCATACCTCCCCCTTCATCCCTGCTTTAAAAATCTCATTCCAAACTGCATCTTACATAAAGTGTCTTGCCCTCTGTGGAGTTCATGTTCATTGTCCTCACTCTTTTTATTTTTTATTTGATGAAGTGACTTTTTAAATTTCTTTCCCCACTACCCATCCCAGCCTTTCTCCCTCCTCCCTTATTCTTAGCGTCAGCAACCTCACACTTTGGTCATCAATGTCCACTGGTTTATTATTATTTTGCTTTGTTGGTTCATCCACTTTGCCTCCTTATTGTGAAATCATACAGTATTTGCCTTTATGTTTTGTTTTACTTTGCTGCACCTCCTACTCCTTTGCTACTTTGCTACTCCTTCCATTTTGCTGTAAGTGGTAACATTTCATCTTTCTTTATAGCGGGACAGTATTCTGTTGTGTATAGACCACATCTTGATTCAGTCCTCTATCTAGTTGTATCCTCACTATTATTTGTAAATAATGCTGCAGTTAACACTGTGGAACAAGAATTTCCCTTTTTATTTTAAAAGGCTAAGTTGTATTCCGTGGAGTGTATATATCATATTTCCTTTATCTTTTCATCTGTCAGTGGACATTGAGTGGGTTTCCGTGTCTTGGCCATTGTGAATAGTGCTGTAATGAACAGAGGAGAACAGGGGTGTCTTCAAGATTTTGATTTTAGTGCTCTTGGGATAAATGCCCAGGGGTGGAATTAATTGATCATATGGTAGTTCTGTTTTTCATTTTTTAAGGGCCTGCATACTATGTGATCTTTTTTTTCAATTTTTTTTTCATTTTATATATTTTTACATCTTTTTTCATTTTTGAAAAATGTATGCCTTTTCATCTTGGTTATAGTCCCCATACAACCCCCCCACCCCCGCCGTTTTTAATCATACTCTCTCCTCCCTCCCCCCACCCATAGTGTGTCTCTGGTTTATAGTTGCTTGTTGATTTTGATTTTTGCTTTATTATAATTAGTCTTTTTCCTGGTCCCTTATTTAGGTTTTCTAAATTCCTGCTATGAGTGAGACCATCTGGTATTTTTCTTTTTCTTTCTGGCTTATTTCGCTGAGCATGAGCCCTTCCAGCTCCATCCATGTTGCTGCAAATGGCATGAGCACATTTTTTTTGATTGCTGAGTAATATTCCATTGTGTATATGTACCACATCTTCTTGATCAGGTCATCTGTTTTTGGGCATTTGGGTTGTTTCCATAGCTTAGCTCTTGTAAATAGTGCTGCTGTAAACATAGGGGTGCAGGTGCTCTTTTGAATTGATGTCTCTATGTCCTTTGGGTAAATACTTAGGAGTGGAATTGCTGGATCATATGGATGCTCATCTTTAGCAGGTTGAGGAGTCTCCACACAGCTTTCCATAGTGGCTGAACCAGTTTGCACTCCCTCCAGCAGTGCAGGAGAGTTCCTCCTATGTGATCTCAAGGAGGCAACTTTCAGCTGCCCTGTGAAGGTAGGCAGAAGGGGCTGTGTGGACCATTTCAGATCAGTCTCCTTGAGGCTTTTTGCTGTGTGTTTTCTAGACCAAGTGGATGGCGCTTTTGGCATCTGTGTGGTGAAGGATGACACCAAGATCAGCATTGAACCGTAAGTTGGAACAGACTTAGAACTGAGGGCTCTTCCACAGTGGGGGTGCTTTCCAGGATCAGTTTTTTCCCCAGGGCTCCTTCACAGAGGGGTCAGGTCTAATTACAGAACCTCCCAGGAGGAAAGGACTGCATTTCTCCTGGTATATGTGGGATGATTTCTTCTGTCCCGATGTACCATGGAGGGACAGAGTGTGCAGGACCTTGGGGTGCTGGGTGAGACTGGCTGTGTACGGTGTGAGACTCATGCATCTCTGTGAAATGTGGTTGGTTGGGTGTGGCCGTGGAGGTATCAGCTGCTCCCCTGTCCTAGCCCCTAGGACAGATACTTGAGGCAGAAACCTGGAAATAAAGGAAATCAGAACCTTAGAGAGGGTTCTGAAATGCCTGCCCATATCCGTCAAGGGTGAAAGCCTGAGGTACCTGAGAGATGGCAGTTTTCCCCAAAACAGTGCTGTGGCCTAACAGCAGGTTCACAGCTCACCTCTATTTTATTTCTCATCTTGGTCATGCGTGTGTGGCCTCATTTCAGACACATCAACATAGGAAGCCGGTTTCAGGCAGAGATCCCAGAGCTTCGGGAGAGGTCGCTGGCCGGAATCGAGGAGCATATAGCATCTCTGGTCTGGAAGCCGTGGGGAGATGTGATGACTAACCCAGAAACACAGGATCGAGGTGGCTGAGACTTGGGGGGCAAGTTCCCCAGCTCCCTCCTACCCCCATTTCTGCTCCCCCATCTCCAAGGAGTCTCTACTCCCAGTTTTCACTGTGACCCAGATCTGCCTCCCTGGGGGAAGTTAGCCCATCTGCTTTCTGCTCCTCCTCTCCTGTCACACAGTGGCTGGTCAGGTCATCCATAGCAGGTGCCAGGAGCAGGGGGTCTGCCCTTCTCCCTGTCTCTCAAACCTCACACAGTCTGTAACTGAGATGGGAGGGAAAAGGAGCCCCTCTCTGTGTTTTTGGGGAGCCCCCCTCCCAGTCCTTGCTGACTCTGTGTGTCCTCTCCCTCGCACTCTGCCTGGGCTGCTTGCTGGAAGCACAGTGACCGAGCTCTGCAATGTGGCCTGCTCTAGTGTGATGCCGGGTGGGGGCACCAACCTGGAGCTCGCTCTGCACTGTCTGCACGAAGCCAAGGGCGACATCCAGGTGAGTGAATGGGCAAGGGCAGGCTCAGAGGAGCCTGGGGATCTCTCTGCTCCCCTGGGGACATCTGCATGGGGTTCAGCAGCTTGTGAAAACCAAAGGCAGGCTGCCTACTTCTCCCCAGTGGCTTTAGGGTTAGTGGTGTCCTGGTGAGCTGCAGGGGAAATGCACAACTGTGGGCTTGATGAATCAGCTATCTCTCTGGCGTGCATGCTTCCTCCCGAGGTGTATCCAGGCACTGTGGCAGGTGGCCTTGGAGACTGGATTCAGGTTCTGCATTAATCCACTTTATTTATGGAGCTCGATCTTTCTGATAAGGATTCCATGTATGAAAACCTCTGATGCATCAGAGACGTTCCTGCCTCCTTCCCGGACCCCCTCTATCCTGAGGTCTAGAAAGGAAATAAAAAGTCTAGCCCTGAATCTCAGCACTTGAGACAGGGACCTAGGACTGTTTTCTTAAGCTGAGAGGCAGTGATTAGCACATAGTAGGTGTTCAGTAGAATGATCAGCACATAGGGTCCTACCTGGACCTGGTCACTGGTGCTGGGCCATGGCTGACTTAGGAGCATCTCTGCATTTCATGATCTGTGGCTGCTGTCTTGAAATTGTTAATTTCTGAACAAGAGGTCCCAGGTTTTCATTTTGCATCAGCCGCCGATCCCGTAGGTTACACAGCTGGCTCTGACTAGGCTTATGCTGGTGAGCAGGACCAAACCCCTCTCTTTGGCAGGCTTCTTTCATAGGAAAGTCAAAGCAGATGATGGTTAAAATGGTTAAAAATAGGTAACGATGGTTAAAAATAGTTAACGATGAGTGTCCTGAAGGAAGTGAAATGGGCCACTGACAGGAGGTGGTACTCTTTTAAAACACTAGTCCTTGATGAAATAATAAGGGGCTTATGACAGGATGAATCCCCACACATACAGAACCCCCATCAAGAAATCTAACTCTGAAGAAGATAATGTCAGCTGTGCTCCACAGCTGGCTTAGTGACCAGCACTCCCAGTGGGGCCAGGCCCTGCACTGGCCAGTAGCCTGGGGTAGTAAAGGCTTAGGCGCCGTTAGTGGTTTTCTAATGAGAGGGTGAATGCAAGTGTCTCCCCAACCTCCTCTCTCTGTGAGTACCTGCCGTTCCAGGTTGCCCTGGAGACCCTCTTACTCAGAGGACCCCAGAAGCCTCGGACTCACCCCCTGGCTGACTACCGCTACACGGGTGAGCAGGAGAGGGCTGCCAGGTGGGGACTGTCTGTGAGACTCCAGGGAGCCCATCAGCCCACATGGGCTTGTGCCTCTGGGCATGCTCCTGGGGGTTTCATGCTTTTTCCAGGAGGGGCCTGTCCTCTCCAGGGGGACCCAGTGGGCATTGTGTTTTTCTCATTGGTTCCTACTGTGCCCTTTTTTCCAATGGTTTCTGGGCTCTTTTTAGCCTGGCCACAGAGAGGTGGAGGCGGGCCCAGGGCAGTGCTTGAGCACAGCAGCCCTAGAGTCAGGCAGCTGGACCCTACACCCTTGGCAAGATACTTAACACCAGCAGAAGCCTCACTTGCTGTGTCTGTAAAGTGAGGTCTTTACCTGCTAATGTTTTGTGGGGGTTGTGTGAGACAAAGCAAGTGAATGGCTGAGCAAAACACTTGTCACATAATGGGTAATGCTGGGTGCTCAGGGTGATCTGCATTTCAGCCACAGCTGAAGTAGCAATGTCCTGCACCCTCCCCACCTGCCTCCCCCCCCCCACCCCCTGGGCTATTTCTACACAGGTTCAGACATCTGGTCGCCCATGGAGAAGAGGCTATTTAAGAAGGCATTCTGTGCCCACAAGAAGGACTTTTACTTAATACACAAGACGGTAAGGTGGACACAGGAGGGCTGATTGGATATGGCCTTGCCTTGCACGGCTCAGGCTGAGGGGCCTGGTGCTGCTGGCACCATGGGCAGTGTATAATTTAGAAGGCCTTTGTGGTGAACAGCTCCAAACAGCACCAAAATGCATCACATACTCAAAATAAAGCCCTCGTCCCCTCCCACAGCCTGCTTGTACTCATGACCTCTGAGTGCTTGGTGGTAGACATAGAGGCATTTACTGCTCGTGTCGATCTCAGACGTAAATGCCTGTGCTTTAAAGAGATGAGATCATACGACCCTGCTGAGTTTTTTGCTCTTTTTTGTTTTTGACTGGATGTGCACAAAAACGCACATAATCGGGCCTCCTCTGGTGCAGCGGTTGAGCACTGGGCTGCGAGGCTGCGCGCGGCCTCAGCAGCGCCAGTTCGATCCCCAGCCACGGGGCGAGGGTCCCACATGGCGCGCAGATAGCAGTGTATTTCGTCAGTCTGCCTGTTCTGCTCCCTGCTCTGGCTCTGGTGAATTCTCTCACCCTCCCGCGCTTCTGACTGTACCCAGTGCTTGTATGAATAAATAAATCTTAAAAAAAAAAAAAAAAAAAAAATTCTTAAAAAAAAAAAAAAAAACGCACATAATCAACGTATGAGAGTCAGTGTTTTAACATATTGGTGCACTGGTAAGACCTTTACCATGATCAAGAGAAAAGAAGCCCCCAAAGTAATAATTACCATGTTAAATACTTTAAATGAATATATTAAAAGTTAATATAAACTCAAATGAGAATGGTTCCTCCCCAAAGGTTCCTCCCCACCCCACAGTAATCCTTCCTTCCTGCACCCTGGTCCTTAGTCAATTCCTTACCTGCTTTCTGTCACTGTAAATGTGTTTGTATTTTCCAGCATTTTCCAGATAGTATTCCCTCTTTATCCACAGTTCACTCTCTGCAGTTTCAGTTACTTGTGGTCAACTATGGTTTGAAAATACTAAATGGAAAATTCCAGAAATAAAGTATCCTTTATGCTCCATTTTGAGTAGCACAACAAAATCTTGAGCATCTTGCTGCCTTCTGTCCTGGATGCGAATCATCCGTTAGTCCATCCTGTACACCCTACCTTCCCCTTAGTCACTCAGTCCTAGTTGTTTTCACTTTTTATACTTTTCTGTAGTGTCTTTATAATTGTGCTATTCTATTATTAGTTATTGTTGTTAACCTCTTTCTGGGCCTAATTCATAAGTTAAATTTCATTGTAGGTGTGTATGTAGAGAAGAAAGCGTTTATGTAGGGTTAGGTACTCTGCAGTTTCAGGATCCACTGGGCTTCTTAGAACATGTGCCCCTTAGGGTATCTTAGAACCTGAGGGGGACTGCCGTAAATGGAATAATCAAACAGGATGTGCCCTGCTTTTGGCTGGCTTCTTACACTCAGCATTAATTTGAGACTTAACCAACAGGCTGTGTCTACCAGATTTTTTTTTTTTTTTAACTGAGGAGTATTCCTTTGTCTGAGTATACTGCCGTCTGTTCAGCCATTCACCTGCTGAGGGACTTGCAGTTGATTTACAGTTATTGGCGATTATAAATAAAGCTGCTGTGAATTTATACATCTTTGTACGTGTACTGCTTTTAGGGAAGTAAATGACTAGATCTTATGATAGGTATATTTTTTAATTTTTTAAGACACTACCCAGTTGTTTTCCAAAGTGATTGTACAATTTCACATCCTACCAGCAGGAGAAGAGTTCCAGTTGCTCCACAGGCTTAACAATACTTAGTGTGGTCAGTTTATTTTTTGTTGTTGTTTTAAAGATTTTTTTTTGTTTGTTTGTTTGTTTTTTTGTTTTAAAGATTTATTTTTATTCATTTATGCATACAAGAACTTGGGTGTAGGCCAGAGGTGCAGGGGGGTGAGAGGATTCACCAAAGACAGAGTGGGGGATCTACTGAAATACACTGCTGAGGGGAGCAGCGGGAAAGACAGGAGTGGTCCGCTTCACCATGTGGGTCAGCTCCCTGGCCAGGGAGTGAACTCATGTTGCAGTGGCTGGCGGTAGCTTGATAGTGCTGAAACTTAACCCCTTGCGCCACCAGGGAGGCCCTGGTCAGTCTTTTTGACTAGACTTGTAATGGGCACTGCATTTTCCTAATGACTGATAATACTGAGTACATCTTTTCTGTGTCTATAGGTAGGCTGTATCTAGAGGTGACCATGATGTCACCTCTTGCATTCCTGATACTAGTAAAAAAGGGATGGCTCTTTATTCTCAGCAATCTGTCTCAGCAATTTCATTGTTTTTCTCAAAAGCTTTTGCGTTTTTTGATTTTTTTCTATTTAATTGATTTCTGCTCTGCTATTTATTATTTTTATTCATCTGCTTATGTTGGGTTTCATTGCTCTTCTCTTCTCAGTTTCTGAAAATGGAAGCTGAGGCCATTCATTTGAAATACTTCTTTTTCCCTAAGAATATCACTTAGTGTTACAAATTTCCCTCAAAAATACTGCTTTGATAAGTCTTGGTATCTTGGGTTTGCATGTTTATTCAGGTCAAGATACTTTTTAAATTTCCCTTTTGATTTCCCTTTTGACCCATGAGTTATCTAGAAATGTGTTTTTTTATCTCCAGATATTTGTGGATCCTCCAGAGTTGTTTGGTTATGACTTTTTAATTTACTGTCATTGTGGTCAGAGAAAAAGTTTTTGGGAATACTTTCAACTTAGTGACCTTCGTTAATGGCCCAGAACATGGCTCATCTACATCTTGGTAGATACTCTGAGTATGCTTAAAGAAGTTTGCTGTGCTGTTGGATGGCATTCTATAAACATCAGTCCAAGATGTTTAGTGGTGTGGTTGTAGTTTTCTCTGCATTACTGTCTACTTGTCCAATTATTGAGAATGGGGTTGGGGTCTTAAAACATTTGACACTAGCTATGGGTCTGCCTGTTTTTCCTGCCATTCAGGTTTTGCTACCTGTGTTTTGGAGCTCAAATTTAGATGCATAAACATTTAGGATTCTTATGTCATATTGATTATTTTTTTTAATAGAGGCATGTTTTATTTATTTACTTATTTGTTTGTTTTGCTTGTTCATACATGCACTGGGTACAGTCAGAAGCGCGGGAGGGTGAGAGAATTCACCAGAGCCAGAGCGGAGAGCAGAGCAGGCAGAAGGACCGAAGTACACTGCTGAGGGGAGCAGCGGGCGGCAGGAGAGGTCTGCGCGCCATGTGGGACCCGCCTCCGGCGGCAGGGGGCAGCCGGGGATCGAACCAGCGCCGCAGAGGCCTCGGGCAGCTTCGCAACCCAGCACTCAACTGCTGCGCCACCGGGGAGGCCCCATTATGTCATATTGATTAATTGACTCTTATCATTACGAAATAGTTTCTTTTTCCATGGTATTATTTTCTTCTCTGAAACACACTTTTCCTAATTGTGTTATTTATTTATTTTTTTAAAAATTTATTTATTAATGCGTACAAGAACTGGGGTACAGGCCAGAGGTGTAGGAGGTGAGAGGATTCACCAGACACAGAGGGGGGAACAGAACAGGCAGATTGACTGAAATACACTGCTGAGGGGAGCAGCAGGGAGACATGAGAGGTCTCCTGTGCCATGTGGGTAGCTCCCTGGCCAGGGATCGAACTCATGCTGCAGTGGCTGCAGATAGCTTCATAGGTTGCGTCTTAACCCCTCATGCCACCAGAGAGGCCCACTTTTTCTAATTTTAACAGAGCCAGCCACTCTAGCTTTCTTATGATGGGTGTTAGCACAGAATATCCTTTTTTCATTTTCTTAGTTTTGACCTATTTGTGTCTTTATATTTGAAGTACATTCTTATAGGTAGCATGTGTTGGGTGTTGCTTTTTTATTCCATGTGAAATATTCAGTCTTTTCATTGAGATGGTTAGAACATTTATTTTTAATGTGATTACGGATTTGGTTGGCTTTAAGTCCTTCATTTTGCTGTTGGTTTTCTATTTGACCCATCTGTTCTTTGTTTCTCCTTTCTACTTTTTCCTGCCTTCTTCTAGATTAACATAATTAATTGTTGGTTTAGTAGCTATTGCTCTGTATGTTTTTGGTGGTTGCTTTGGGTTATAGCCTGCATCTATAAGTGATGCTGGTCTACCTTCAAGGGGTTTGCTAACACTCCACATGTATACTCCCATTCTCCTCCCTTTATACATACTGCTATTGTGCATTTTATTTTATATCATGAAGCCCAGCTATACATTGTTATATTTATTTGAACAGTTATTGTTAAAATATAGTAACAAGAAATCTTACCTGTTTACCCACAGGATTACTGTTCACACTGCTCTGCATTCTTTTGTGGAGATCTGTGTTTCTAGCTGGTATCATTTTTCCAAAAGGAAACAATATAAACCCTTTAACACTTTTGATAATGAAGGTTTGTTAGTGACTGAATTCTCTCAGCTCTTTCATTTTTAACCTTTTTTTTCAAGAAAGATACCTTTGCTAAGGATAGAGTTCTAGCTTGACAGGGTTTTCCCCCTTCAGTAATTTAAAGATGTTCTACTTTCTTGTTTTTCTTTCCAACAGCAAATATACTGAATTCTTTGTCTTTGATGGTCTGTACATGATGTGTCTTTTTTTTCTCTGGCTAGCAGATTTTAGGAATTTCTCTTTATCATTGGCTTTGAGCAATTTTATAATGTGCATCTAGTCTTTTGGTGTGCTTTTTTCTTTCTTTCTTTTTTTTAAAAAAGATTTTATTTTATTTATACAAGAACCAGGGTACAGGTCAGAGGTGAGGAGGGGTGAGAGAATTCACCAGAGATAGAGTGGGGAAAAGAACAAGCAGATTGACTGAAATACACTGCTGAGGAGAATAGTGGGCGAGACAGGAGAGGTCTGCCGCGCCATGTGGATATCTCCGTGGCTGGTGGGGATTGAATCAGCACTGCAGAAGCTGCGGACAGCTCCACAGTGCTGCACTCAGCTGCCTGCGCCAACAGGGAAGCCCTGGTGTGCTTTTCTTAATGCTGTTGTGGGCTTGGGTTCTGGTGAGCTACTTAGATCTGTGGGTTTATATTTATAGTTTTTATTAAATTTAGGGAATTTTTTCAAACATTTCTTCTAACTGTCCCCCTACCCAGGATTCCACTTAATGTGTTTTCAACTTCTCATGTGGTTTTTACAGAGGCTGTCATTAATGGGTTCACTTTTTAGTGACGGGAGGAACAAATAGCCAGACTGTGAAGCCCTAGGATTATATGGTGACCTTGACACTTCCTCCTCCTCTTCTGGGTCTCTTTCCCCATACTGTGGGGCTCTTCCCAGCTCCTGCAAAGGTGGTCATTAGTCCTGCTTGGTTAGGCCTAGCTTGCACCAGTGTTCCTTCATGCACGTCTTCCCTTAGGGAGGGGCTTGCTGCTCAGAGCCTGTAGGACTTGGATTTGTTGCCTACAGTGGCTTCACTCCAAAGCCCTCTGGAAGATATTTCTGCCCCTTGTGGCAAAGGGACATGTCCAAAGGGACTGATGTAGGGACTGATGTTTTGGTGGCTTGGCCTCATGTGGAGGGAATTTAAGGCTCCATGACCTCCTTACAGCTGCTCCTGAGGTTGCCCTTCGCCCCTTTTGTTTTCTTTCACTAGATCCAGACAAAGACTGTAGCCCAGTGTATTGAGTATTATTATATCTGGAAGAAAATGATCAAGTTCGACTGTGGCCGAGCCCTGGGGCTAGAAAAGAGGGTCAAGAGAGAGCCAGATGAGGCAGACAGGACAGAAGCGAAGGTAGAAGTCCCGGATCTGGAGTTCCCAATGGGGGAGGAGGGTGGAGGGCAGAGGGAAGGCTTCCTTGCAGAGGACATTTGTGCCCTGGATCTCTACCTCCCCCTTACACGGATGAAAGATCATCCTAATGTCATTTTCGTCTCCTCTGCAGGTCACTTGCAGCCCTCGAGAGAGACCCAGCCACCGACCAACTCCTGAGTTAAAGATAAAGACCAAGAATTACAGGAGGGAGTCGATCCTCAACTCCAGCCCAAACTCAGGCCCCAAGAGGACCCCTGAGCCACCCGGGAGTGTGGAGGGCCAGGGTGTTTTTCCCTGCAGAGAGTGTGAAAGGTACTAGCCCTTTACCTAGACATGCTCCCACCTCCCCTCCCTCAGGACCCCATGCCTCCCCTTTGCTGACCTGTGTCCTCTGATGACTCCTCAGGGTATTTGACAAGATCAAAAGTCGAAATGCCCACATGAAGCGGCATCGGCTCCAGGACCATGTGGAGCCCATTGTCAGGGTGAAGTGGCCTGTGAAGCCCTTTCAACTGAAGGAGGAGGAAGAGGATGAGGAGGAGATAGGGTCAGACATTGGCCCCCTGCAGTGGTGATTCCCTAGTGGGAGCAGAAACAAAACAAGTCTCTCTTCATCCTCTCCAGAGTACCTAGGGTACCCCTCTGCTTCCCCCCTTCCCATACCCCATTGGGCAGCTTACTTTGCAGATAAAGCGGCATTTGACTGTGAAACAGGCAGGAGAAGAACACGGTTATGGGATCCCCATTCCGGGACCACCGAGGCCCATTACCAGCACCAGAGGCTCTGTTCTCTTAGTTAATAGTCTTTCATCTGTCCCAGTTCCACTCCTCAATGGGCAGGGAGGCTGGAGAGGGAACAGGTTAGATCTGGATAGCTCTTAAATCTTCGTCTAGGTTTGGGGGTTTGGTTACATGTGTTAGATAAGGCCAAGACATAGAGAATCAGTGGGAAGATACCTTCAGATCTCCAGCATTTGGGGGGGGGTTCCTCCCTAGGGGTCTCTCTGCATTCCAGTTTCAGTCCCTAGTCTTGCAAAGACTTGTACATTGTTAGGTTTTTTTGTACACCTCTACTTGTAAATCTTATTAAATTGGGTTCTTGAGCCGCTGTCCTCTGGTTTCCCTGACCCATTGATCCAGCTGAGTAGCTCTGACCAGTTGCTGGAGCCATGGAGATGAGTAAGCTCTGGAGGAGCTAGGGGCCTGGTACATTTGTTCAGCCATCATTTATGAAGCATCTACTATAGCCTGTGCCAGACAGTGCCCCCTTCTTGCCACAGGGATCAGTGATCTGTGATGGGCAAGCCCTCTCCTCCCAGGACTTACATGTTAGGAGTAGAAATAAGTGAACGTGATTTAGATACTGAATGTGGGTATGCTTTTGGCCATAACAAAAGAGTCAATACAGTTAAACCATCAGATTCTATGGTGGTTCCAGTGGCTCCACCCTGAACAAGGCCCACCAGCAGCAGTAGGAATCCCCTCTTAACCAAAACCCAAATATGCGTGCAGGCCAGGAGGTGGGCAGAGAGTGCATCCCTCCCTCCCTAGTGTCCCTTTTCATAGTGAGGACAACTTGTAAGCCATCTCCCACGCCTCCAGCCCCCACAGACTGTCCTTCGTATCTCATCAGCCAGAACGCTAGCCCATGCTCACCTCTAGACCAATCCCTGCTGGTGGGAAGGCAAATGGCCACCATCATCCTGGATGCTCAAGATTTGTCTCCAGAATTTGGGGGAAAACCAGTATGTCACCCCAAGTTTGTTGCAGTTTGGCCGAAACTACAATTCTTGGCAGGAAGAGAAGGGGGAGCAGAAATGGCTACTGAGTACACCTTGCATCCAACACAAAGTGATATGAAGGAGATAAAGCAGGGGAGGGGACCAGGTGCTAGGATGTGATCAGGGTGTGGCCAACAGGGAGGGCCTCCCTGAGGGAACTGTTCAGGCTGAGGTCTGGACTCCAGACTGTAGAAAGTAGTAAAGGGTGCCTGGCTGCTGTGTGGACTGCATGGGAGGCAAGCTGTGCAGCCTGGAGAGCAGAGTTTTTATAGGGCAGCCCCGATATAAAACGGGTTGCCTGGCTGTGGGTCCTCACCCGTGTGCTTAAAAGGGACTTATTAATACTCTATTGCAGGCACACACAAAAGGTTAATAAAAGGTTTATTTACAAGGGAAGGGGAAATGAGGAAATGTACAACTCAGGGAGAATATAGGGAAATAAAGTCTTAAATGTGTCCTACCCGTTCTGCCGATCTGGAAACCCAATGGCACTCTGAGAGCTGGCCGTGAGCCAAGAGCCGTGAAGCCAATAAGCACCCCCAAGACCCACATGTCTGGTTTTTATACCAAACCTGGCTGCTTAACTCCACCCTCAGGTTCCAGCAATCTTCCCTTTGGTGGTGATGGGATTTGTCTTTTCCAATGTCCTCATGGCTTTGGTCTGGAGTGGGGGTGGAGTCCACAAAGCCTGTATGGAGTTAACTTAGGATATCCTTTTCCCCCTAACAGAGTGACGGCCCTAAGGTCAAGTGATGGTGGCCTGGACTGGGGTAGCAGAGCGGAAAGGCGGAGATGCAGATGCATCTTGGAAGTAGATACCACAGACCAGTTGATGGGTCACACGTGGGAAGGGAAAAAGACAGGTCAGGGTCGACCTAGTAGGTTTGTGGCTTTAGCAGCAACTAGGAACCATGAACTCAGATGGGATATGGCAGAAGACTTGATGATCTCTGTGATTGTGTCTGTACTAGTGCCTACTGGATTCTGGGGTGGGGCAGGAAGGGATCTGAGTGGAAGGTAGTGTCAGAAGGTTTCACACAGGGGCCACATTTCGAATCTTAAAGACTGGGAGGGAGTCTGGAAGGGAGGAGGAGCAGAGGGGGAAGTTGAGCTTGAAGCCCTTTGGACCTTGTGGTTAAGGGAAAGTGACCAGGTATCAAAACAACCAGAATTTACATACTGGCTCCTCATCCTCTGGTGTGACCTTGAGTCACTTTCAGGTTTGTAAAATAGTGTGGAAAATACCTGTATTTTCATATTCTGTAAAATATTTTCATATTCTGTAAAGTAGTGTGGAAAATACCTTCTTTTCAGTGAGAAATTAAGAACTTGCCTGACTGCACTATAGGAGAGACAACTACTTGAAAGCTCTCCTGCCACTACAGTTAGGGGTAGGTCGCACCCTAAATAACAAGTTAAGCTCAGTGACCCTGAAGATGAACGATTGTCTCAAAGGGTTGGATATATATTCATTTTCTGTTGCTGCATAACAAATAACTCTGAAATTTAACTAAACAAACTTTGATAATAATGCTTACATGGTCAGGGAACTGAAACTGCTTGTGGTAGTCCAGACTCATCTCCACCCAATCTGTGGTAAGAATACAGTGGCAACCACAAGTGGGTGGTCCAGGAAGTCTTTGGATCTAAGAAGAGAGTAGGGCAAAGATTTCCTGTGCCTCATTCCACCCCCCAGCCAAACTCTACCTCACCCCCACACAACAGTGTTTTTTACAACCAGTGGTCTCTAAATTGCCTACATCAGAATCAGCTGTTAGCTCCTATAAATGCAGATCCCTGTGGCCCTCCCCTCAACTTTCAGAGTCAGAATTATTGGGGGTAGTGACCCAGAATCCAAAATTTTAAAAGCTTTTTTTTTAATAGAATAGCTTTTAGATTTACAGAGAAATTGGGAAGATTGCAGGGAACCTCCCCCACCACACACACATACCCAATACCCTTCGTTAAGAACATCTTAGATGGCACATTTGTTAGAATTAACCAACCACTGTTACAGGTTATCAAACCCATACTTTATTCAGAGTTCTTTAGTTTCTATGTCATGTCCCTCTTCTGTTTCAGGGTTTCACGTTACTTTTAGTAATCATGTCTCCTTAAAGATCCTTCTGGCTGTGACAGTTTCTCAGACTTTGTTTTTGGTCGTTTGACGGTTTTGAGGAGCCCTGGTCAGCTGTCTTGGAAACTGTATCTCATTGGGATTTATCTGGTGTTTTCCTCATAATTAGCTTGGAAAACCACAAAGATGAAATGCCATTTTCATCACATGTTATGAAGGGTACATACAATCAACATGACTAATCACTGTTGATAATGACCTCAGTCACCTAGCTGACAGTGTCAGGTTCCTTCCTGTTCTGTACTCACTGGAAGGAAGTCCCCAGTGTACAATCAGTGTACACACTTGACGAGTGAGAAGCGTCATGCTCCACCTTCTTGAGGGCAAAGTATCTAAACAAAGTTATTTGGAATATTTAATCTATCCTATTTATTTGCCAAATCATTCATTTATATCAGTGTGGCTTGTGGATATTGTAAACGTTGGATTATCATTGTTTCAACTTTTTGGCCGTTGGGAGCTCTTTCAGTTGGTTCCTTTATCCCTTTGTCATACTCCCAGTGTGTGTGTGTGTGTGTGTGTGTGTGTGTGTGTGTGTGTGTATGAGGGAGAGAGAGAGAACGAGAGGGCAAGAGCCGTAGATCCTTTCTGGCACAAGATGCTGACCGCTCACAATTTCTGCCCTGTTGTAGAACCAGCCATTTATCTAAGGAGAATGGTATTAAAATCCAAGGTCTGAAATTTTAGCATTCCAACTTTTTTTATGAAGCCAGAATTGGAAAACCCCTGTTCTCATTTTTGTTTCCAGTCTCTCAAGTACTTCGCGTGTCTTCCCAAACCAGTTTCACCAACAGAGGGCGCAAAAAAAAAAAAAAAAAGAAGGGCTGGTTTTCTTAACTCCTTTATTTTCCGGGAGGCGGAGATCAGGCGAAGAGGCAGAGACTAATCCTTACAGGCGAACTGTCAAATCCAGGCGTGGGCGAGGCGTGCCTTCCGGCAAAGGACTGGAGCTGTCACGTGAGGGTCTGCGGTCAGCTGACTAGCTTCCCAGTTCCGCAGGGAGGGACAGACCAGCCGGCGACTGCTGCTGATTGGTGGAAGAGGATGCAGAAAGGGGACACTTTGAGGGTTAATCCTTGACGGTGTCACGTGGGCTACAGTGAGGACGCACCCGGAAGAGAGTGGCGAGCCCAACACTTCTGTATGCGCATGCGCTGAGGCTTCGGGTCGGCTATTGGAAGCCGTGAGTCACAGGGCGGCTGGCGGAGGCGTGTCCGGAGGGGCGCGCGCCGCTCTCTGAGGCCGCTGGTTGGCTAGCTCCGATCACGTGGTGCGGGCAGCGGGCGGCGCGCGCGGGTGCGACGTCAACGCAATCCGCTGAGCTTCCCCGACCCGTCTACCGCGGCCCGGCCGCCGCTGAGTCCTTCGAGGGCCCGGGTCAGGCGGTTTGCTGGTTGCCTTCGCGGTCGCCATGGACAACTCCGGGAAGGAGGCGGAGGCGATGGCGCTGCTGGCCGAGGCGGAGCGCAAAGTGAAGAACTCGCAGTCCTTCTTCTCGGGCCTCTTTGGGTAACATACGCGCCGAGGGCCAGCGGGCACCTAGGCTGAGAGGACGAAGGGGTGGCGGGGTGGGCGCCAAGGGCTGGGCCCACGTGGACGGGGGGGTTCCGGCATGAGATGACCTGGTGACCTGGCGTTAGAGGGGACACAGGCTGAGGCCCCGGGGCCCCCGCCAGACCATGGCGACGCGGTTTTAGAAAAGACACCCGGAGATGGTGGAAGGGCGAGGAGATCCTGGCCGAGGCGATCCTGGGGCCGGAAAGGGGACCTAGGCTGAAGACAGCCCGGGAGCCGGAGAACATGGCCTGAGGCCTTTAAGGAACCCCCGGGCCCGAGCCATAGAGCTGAAGGCCCCTGGGCGAACAGCCAAGGTGAGAAGCGGTTGGAGCCCTAGGAGAAGCCGTGTGGAGGCTCCCAGAGGGGCGCCACGGGGCCTGCCACACAGGACACCTGCCCGAGGCATCGACCTTTTCAAGGACCAAGGCGGCGGGTTTTCGAGAGTGTTGGATGATGGGGATGAGGGGGTCAGGGTTCATGCCGTCCTGGGAGGGGTGAGCCGGAGCCTGAGTGTGAGTTTTGCCTTGGTTAATGGGGACCTCAATCCCCAGTGAGAACTGAGCAGAGGAATCCGGAGGTAATGAAGTGAAGATTGAGCAGGCCTGAGATGAGAAACTAGAGATTGATGTGGGGCGTGGGAATGAGGGATGCTGGCTTGTTTAGGATTGGAGGGTCGGAAGAGAGAGATGAAGGAGAGGAGAAAACCCAAAGGGTGCTGTTGACCTGTGTGTTCCTGGAATCACGACTGGGAAGTGTGAGAAGAGGACCTGAACAGGGATGGGAGACACAACCGAGGCAATGTGACAGACATTTCACATTAAGTTCACCTTAAGCTCTTAAAAGTAGCTTTGATGACCATCCTTTGAGGAATTTCAGTGGCTGGGCGTGTCAAAAGCCCAGGTTTGAAATGTGGCTCTGTCCCCTACTTCTTGATCTTGTTAAATAGGCCTCACTATTAATACTTGCCTCAGCAGTTTGTTACTAGCATTGAAGAAGAGTGCTTAGAATTGAGTCTGACACGTGCTGAATGCTTTGAAAGTGTTAGGTATTATCAACGTTACTTTTGTCAAGGAATTTCCAGCCTGTAAGAAGCTGAGCGGGAGCCTGAGGGAGAGGTCTGGAAGGGTACAGAAGAGGGAGAGACTGAGCCATCAGGGGGAGAGGAACAGAGTGGAAGGAGTCTGGAAAGAGGGCCTTGGGACTGGGAAATAGTATACGGAAACCAGTTGGTGAGAAATGAAGGGGAGGTTCTTTCCTGGAGAGGAGATGGATCCACCCATTTTTATTTAAGGTTAATGTTTAGCAAAAGAACTTGAAAAACACCACTGAGAATGGAGAAACATGCATCAAAGGATTGGATGGATTGGGTTGATTAGGTGATTAATGTTTTATTGTAGAGGCTGAGAGTACTGGAAGGATGTGTATTTCTTCACAAGGGGAGAAGTTCAAGCACAGAGTTTTGGGGGTACGGCTGAGAGCTCAATTTTTGGGAGTAGTTTTTTTTTCCTGGTGGTTTTTGGTGGCCCTTTGGACTGGGCATTAGTGTACTGTTGTGTACCCCATTTAGCATACTGTTGAGTGTGCTTGAAGGGGCCAGTTAAGGCAGACCCTGGGACACTTGCCACCTATTTGGGAAGGCAGGATTAACACTCGCCCAATGCTAGTAAGGAGAATTGTCAAATGCTTCTAAAGCTAGGTTATGTTTTTCATGTGAAATTCCTGCCATCACCATGATCTTGGATACCTTGAGAGGAAACTGCATGAACTGGAGGCTTTTCATGGAGGAGTTGAGATGGGACCCCAGAACTCTAGGACTTATTAAGGGGTGGGGAACTAGGAGGGTATTCTAGGCAATGGGAATTATACAAGCAGGGGTGTGGCATCAGGGGAGATTCTTCCCAGAACAATGGGAAATGAGATCCAGAGGGTCCAGAGATGGGTGCCCTGGAGGAGAGGCGTCCCCCTGGAAGATGAACTGGGAGTTGTGCCCTCTGGTTGCTCCAGGCAGAGGGACAGCTTGAAGATGTGTGAAGCTCGGGATCTAAGGTTCCTTGTTAGCATATAACGTTAGAATGTGAAGAAGGCAGAGGTGAAGATGAACAAGGGTGAGGGCCTTTCAAAAAAGGACTTGGACTTAAGGAGGGGGGAGGCAAGCATTGAGTTTTTTTATGAGCGCTTGTCTTAGCTTGGGCTGCTATAAGAAAATTCCATAGCAGAATTTTGTTTTCATAGTTTGAAGGCTGGGAATCTAAGATCATGGTGTTGGCAGATGTTTGGTGTGGACCTTCTTCATGGTGAAGAGGCCAGGGATCTCTCTGGCCCCTCCTCCTCCCTTTCCAAGGACTCACTGAATACCAGTCACATGAGTTCTCCACTCCTGACCTGATCACCTCCCAACTGCCCCACCTCCTAATACACATCATCTTGGAGGAAGAATTTCAACATGTGCCTTTGGGGGCCAGGACCACACACACATTCATGCATAGCAGACCCAGTCCTAGAGGTCCCCACTTGCCTTTAGAAAGGACTGCAACAGCTGGTGTGGGGAGGGTGAAGGAAGTGCCAAGAATCTTAGCAGATCATGTTTATTAAGTGCTCACTTTGACTCCAAGTCAGGCCTGGGCCAAGCACTTTACCTGTGTCCTTGCATCCAGTCCTCAAAAAATCCCTGTGGAAGTAGACAAAGGAACGCTTAGAAGAGTTGATGGATTGCAGTTTCCCAGTAAGTGGGAGATTGGCGTTCTGACCTGGCCTGTCCCAAAGCCCTCATGGGCACTGTGTTTAGGAAGGCTCTTGGCCATCTAGGGAGCACCCCCATCCTCCCTCCCTCCACATGGCAGGGTCTCCAGACATTTGAAAGAAACAGCAGGTGTATTCATCCCAGGCCCTTCTGGCTCCAAGAGATGTTGCTGGTGCCCAGGGGATAAACAAGGCCAGAGCAAGAGGACAGGGGAGACCACAGACACAGATGGGGCCTGTCTGCGGGCTGGCATGTTGTGTGAGGTCAGCCCAGGACTGAGGACTCAACTCAGCCAGTGTCACCACTCCTAGCGCCTCCTCCCCTTGGAGCTGGGGTTCCCTGTGTTCAATGTCACACCTTTTTTCAAAGGCCTTGTGGCATCCGGAGACTGGGAGAGGGAGTGTGAGAGGGAGTGTTGGGGCTCAGCTCTGAGTCCCACGCCTTTCAGGGACCTCAATGTGGCCTACATTCCAAATTGAGAGGTCTCTATCAAGGCAAGAGTCAAGTGGGACCCCCGCTCTCCCCTAATTGGGGCAGCCCCACATCCTTGGGTATTACTGCTGCCTCCTCTGCTTGTCATGAGTTCTGGCCTGCCTGACACTAGGGGGCTTTGGAGTGTCAGTCACCTTCCTGGGAGCCCAGACCAGCTTGGTAGCAGCTCAGAGCCTATTCTGTGACTTCCCTCCTGCTCTCTCCTCCCCCTCAACTCCCCAGCCTTTTCTCTGGCCCGCGGGTGGGGAGCTGTGGGGGAGTGGGGGCGCAGCCCGACTGCTGCTTTGGAAACAAGAAGGTGGCACTCTCCCAAGTGAAGCGCTGTGATGCTGCAGAGAGGGCAGAGACAGGCACACTTTATTTCTCCTTCCTGCTCCTTCCTGCTCCAGATGATTTGGCACACCTGTGCTTGTGCCCCTTTGGGGTGGAATGGGGTCTAAGCAGTGGTTGCGTTCTGGGCTTTTCCTCACCCCTTATTTCTTCCTCCCTCCCCCTCCTCCAAATCCAAAATAAAAACTACTTTCCACTTGAATGCCAGCACTTGTAGAAGTTTCCTGATCTAGGAAATGACTGTCATGGTAATACCCACTGAGCAGATGAGTTTGCTCTGTCAGGTGGTGAGTGCACAGGGCTCCACTCGGTCCCTACTGCTTCACTCCCCACGTTAGTTGTAGGCATTGTTGTTGGAAGTTGAGCTAGAGGTGCTAGAGAAATAGCGATGACCGGCTGTTCTGTGTGCAAACAGCACGTTCCTGAAGAGCAAATATTGACAAATCAGTTCTTGCTTGAGTCACTCAAAGGCACCAGCAGCGCCCCCCATACCCCCACACTTCCCCAGACCTCTGGGGCTTTCGTGAGGGAAGAATTACTGCTACCATCTACCAGGGTGGAAGGCCCTTAGCTTGGTCAGGTGTAGGAACCACAGCTCCAGCTTTGCTTTAGGACTACCGCCACCTGCAGTGCTCTAAGTCCCTGGCACGGTCTTCAGTGGGACCAGAATGACTCAGTGTCCTGCCAGCTGCCAAGACCCATAGTTGAAAACTTGACTTCTCTTGCCCCTCGTCAGAGTGGAGTTTCTCCTGAGGGGACACTAGAGGGCGATGGCCCTATCAGTCTAAATTGCTAAGGGGTGGGATTGGGATGGGAGAGCCAAGCCCTGTGGAAACCGAAGGGGCAACACTTAGCTCATCTGGGGGTGGAGATTTGGAAATAGGTGAGCATTTCTAGAATCTGCTCTCTGTGAGCCTGATAAGAGCTGAGAGCGAGACTCAGGCTTGCCGAGCACTTGCTGTGTGCAGGCCCCTCCCTGCCGCCTGCTCCTGCTCATCGAGCAGCCCTGCTGGTGGAGGTCTTACCCGCCATTGCTGAGGAAACTGACGCTGTGAGCCACATGTGAGCCCAAGCCAGTCTGACTCCATCCCCACCCCCTTTCCACCTCTGTGACTCAAGAATCCCCATTGCCAGCTGACTGGTACCTTTTGGCGCCTATTTCTCCTCCTTCAGACAGTAGCAACCATTTGAGCACCTGCTCTGAGGCATGTTTTGTGCCAGGTACTATCTCTCCTCTTCAGGGGACTTCTCCCAGGTGGACTTCATGGTTTCCATTTCGCTTGCATCTTATCCTCACGGAACTCCTCCCAGATGGGCTTCATGGTCTCCATTTTACTGAAGCTCAGAGATACACAGCCCATAGCAGGCTGGGACCTTGTCCACTTCCTTGTATTAATGGGATGGAAGCTTTTCACATCACTGAGGGAGTGAGAGTCCCAGCAGGAGTGGGTGGCCCAGCCTTCAGCTTCCTGGCAATGTAAATGTGTACAAGCCCCTCCGCCTCTCTGAGCCCCAGCTTCCTTCTCTGTGAGGCAGGGATGATGCCCAAGGGGTTGAGTGAGGAGCTCTGTGCTCCTTCCACAGAGGGCTAGGAGGCCGTCATTGTGAGGGATGGAGATGATCACATGTGGAGAGCTGCGCTGCATCTGCAGACGGGAAGCGGCTAGGCTGCTGGGTCCGATCTCCCTGGTGCCTTATGTACTGACTGAAAATAGCGCAGGGCCTTCAAGTCTGAGGAGAGGACCAAGGGCTTGTGGCTATGGCCCGGCAGAAGGACGGGAGGCACAGGGATTGTAAGAACCAAAAATGTCCATCCGCCCATCCGCCCAGTCTCTTGAGGTGCTTAGGAACTACAGGTGGGGTGGGTGGGTGGGTGTTGCTGGGAGCCAGGAAGTGCCCGGGGGACGGAGGAAGGAAGGAGGGAAGCTGAGACTGCCCTGCAGAAGCCCCTGGCCCTGGTCCCACATTCCTGGCATGCTTACTTTTCTCCATATGGTTGTTGCTGGAGGTTTGGTGAATTGTGCCTGGGAAGACCTGAGACTTTCCTCCACCAGAGGGGGAGAGCAAAGCTGAGCTGGTAATTATAGACAGCCCTGTACCAGGCCAGCCGAAACCAGTTCCCTCTATTCCCGGCTCTGAAGCACCCGCTGCCTGTGGGATGGAAGAGCTAAGCAGAGGCAGCTTGGGGGAGGTCAGTGGGGGAGGGACAGTCAGCTGTCACATGAGCTGTCACCCAGCTCTTCAGAAGAGCCGGGCTCAACTAGCTTTTCTGGATCCTGTGCAGGAGGCAGAGGGAGGAGGCCTGGTTTCTCCCCCTCAGAGAGGCCACCCTTACAGCTTGACCCAACCTGACCTAGGTGAGAACTGATACAGTAAACTACGCAGGTTGTCAGTGTGGGGAGACAACTGGTAGAACAGGGAGGCTAGGGGCTTTTTCCATCCGATCATTCTTTCCCTGGCAGAATCCCTCCTTTTTCATCACAATAGGGCCTAAATCCTACTCTTGGTCTCCAGCATGGGCTGCCCCCACTCTTGCCTGCCTTATGGATGCCAGCCCCTGTGCTATAGCCACCCTGGCCCACTGCTGGTCCTTGAACTGGCCAAATTTATTGCTGTTGCAGGACCTTTGCACCTGCTATGACAGCTGCCTGGGTGGCTTCTCTCTCCATGGATGGCTCCTCCATCATCCTTGAGGACCAACCTCCCTCAAGAGCAGCTTTCCTGACCCTTCCACTCCAAGAGCCCTCCATTCCCCTGGTCTCTCCAGTGCTTCATCTCCCTGAAACTAACTTGCTGATTATCTGTTCACTGAGCACTAGGTCCTTCTCCTTTGTTTACTCCTTTGTCTCCAGCGCTGGGTACATAATAAATGCCCAGAAATTTGTTTACTTAATGAATAAATGGCCTTGTGAGTGGCTTCTCTTTCCAGATCTGTCACTGACCTTAGGCAAGTCACTTTCCCCCTTTTAGATGTCCACTTCCCTCTATGAGTGAAGAGGGTGGAACTCCAGAGAGTCCCCTGTCAGTGCCAGCAAGGAAATGGGAGTATTGAGGGGAAGGAGGAGGCAGACCCAGAGACTTGAACAGCTGTTAATTCCTTTCTGGCTTTTCTGCCTAACAGTTAATCGCTCACTGAGCTCCAAGTTGGCCCTGCCTAGTCTGGGATCAGTCCTGGCAGCTGACAGACTTGTGTTCTGAGTCTGCGCTTTCCCACTGAGCTGAAACAAAGCAGCCGGACCAGCTCTATTCATTGTCCATCCCCTGACTCTGGGCCTCTCTGTGGGCTGAACTGGCCTGGGCCATTTCTGTTCATAAGGGAGCTGATATATTTTCAGAGAATGGGGCCAGATAAAGGATTCAGTCACACCCACAAAGAAGAGAAGGATGTGCTAGGGGATCCATGGGATAGGTAGAACTGTGAATGGTCTGTGGATGCACCCGTCCCCTTTAAGAGAACATTCCAGAGGGAGTTCCCCAAGGATTTTTGCAGCCAGACCCCAAGGCTCTGTTATGAAACTACTTTAGCCAGAAGCTTGTGAAAGTTCCTTACCTCTCCAAGGTCGGAAGTGGGCTCTAGAGAAGTCCCTCCAAACAGAGGCCCTAAGCCCAAGGTGTGCTGGGCCAGCTGGGTGAGAACCCAACAGGCTGTGTGGGGAGGAGCTTATTCCTCAGAACCTCTTTCTGGGAGACAGCAGAGTCCCAGAAGGCAGGTGGTGGGTTTTTCATCTGAAGAAGAACCTCACCCAGTAGCTTTGGATTCATGAGGCATGATTCCAGTCCCAGCAGCTCACCCTGGGGGTAGTTGCCAGCTGACCTTGTGCAGCTTGGGACAGGTGTCTCTGGTGGTGGTTTTCTAAGTGAAGGCAGATCAGCTTTTTTCTTCCCAAATACACCTCATCTTCTGCATCGCCTGGGACCATTCAAAAACCTGGTTGGGGCTGGGGATAGGAGTGGGGCAGACATACTGAGTGCAATCTCCAGGAGAGCGCTCTAGGGCTCTGGCTAGATGTTTATAAGAAGCACCACTTGTGTGTCAAAGAAAGGGGAAGGTTGGCCCCCCCTGCACTTAGGCACAGGTGCTCCTTCAGGCCGAATGACACTTGAATGGGGGTGGTGACAATGATTCACGTGGTTTTTAATTGGAAAATACTTCCTCCCCCTTCATTCCTTCAAAACACTGTGGATGTCAGTGAAGAGAATCTGAAATCGTGTGTTGGGCTCCTGAATGTGGCACCAACTCACTGGTCAGGAGGGCAGTGGGAGCTTGAATAGTACCAGGTACCCAGCCCTGTGGGTACCGCCTAGTTGGCTTATTGGCGGTTGAAGGACTCAAAGTCTGAGGTGGTGACTCAGATGAGGTACTCAGGAGGGGTGCCTGATTCAGGAAGAGGCTTGGTTACATCACTCAAAGATTGGGACGGGCGCCCCACCCAACCGAACCATACCCCTCTCTGTCTCGCAGGCCTTTACTGTTTCTTTTTTTTTTTTTTAATTAGAGGCATGTTTTTATTTATTTATTTATTTATTATATTTGTTTGTTTTGTTTATACATGCACTGGGTATAGTCAGAAGCGCGGGAGGGTGAGAGAATTCACCAGAGCCAGAGCGGGGAGCAGAGCAGGCAGAAGGACCGAAGTACACTGCTGAGGGGAGCAGCGGGTGGCAGGAGAGGTCTGCGCACCATGTGGGATCCTCCTCCGGTGGCCGGGGAGCAGCCGGGGATTGAACCGGCGCCGCAGAGGCCGCGGGCAGCTTCGCAACCCAGCGCTCAACCGCTGCGCCACCGGGGAGGCCCAGGCCTTTACTGTTTCACGGCAAGTGTTTTGAGAGTTGCTTTGCCGTTTGAAATTATGTTGTGCTGGACAACCTTGTAACTTCTTCCGTGAGTTTTTGAGGGTAAATTGCTAGAAATGTAATTCATTCCTGAACCACAGGGCCAAGTATAAATCATATATGCTTATTTTCTTTTCTTGGATAAAATAGACAAGTGGTTAAAAAAAGGAAAGTACATAAGAGGGCTGTGTAGAAAACTATCTTCAACACCCATTTCTCCACCTTGGAGACAAATGCTGTAACTGGCTTTTTGTGTAACCTCTCAGGCTTATTTTCTGTCTGCATGACATAGCCTTTATATATATACGTGTATGTTTCTCTACTTCTTCCTCTCTTTTTTGTTTTAACCAAAATTGGGGACATTTTTTGTACACATTTGAAAATAGCAATTCTTTGGCTGTACCACAGTATAGGCATACCTCAAAGATAACATGGGTTTAGGGCCAGACTATGGCCATAAAGTCACACAAATCGTTTAGTTTCCTGGCACATATGAAAATTACATTTACACTGTACCGTAGTCTATGAAGTGTGCAATAGCATCGTGCCTGCAGAAAAACACGTATCTTATTTAAGCTGGGGGAAAATGGCGTCAACCAACTTGCTGGACTCTGGGTTGCCACACACCTGCAACTTGGGAATTCCCTGCGAGGTACACTGAGGCAGTAAAGTGAGGCGTGCCTGGGTACCTTCCCAGCCCTGAATTGGTGATGACCTACTTTTGGGGTGGAAAGGTCTTCCTTGAACAACTGCAATGTGCCGGCATGAGAGGAGATAAGGGGTCCAGAGCTAGGCCCCTCCCCTAGACTGCTTTGCTGTCTCCTGGGGAAAGGGAGTTTGCAAAGAGCCTGGGCACAAAGCAGCCCAAACAGGAAGTGGAAGAGGCTGTGGGGAGAGTGCCCACCAAGTCTTCCCCAGGGAGGACTCAGGCAGCCTTTGTGTGGTGGGTGGGGGTCCCCTGAGCCTGTTGTGAAGGCCTGGGCTGCATCTGGCCTTGGGAAACCTGACTTCACAGGGAAATGGTGGGTGACGGGGCCAGGGACACCTCCACTGTCACGGCTGGGGTGAAATGCTTGCTTGCTTTCTGAACCAGGCTAGATCATCTCATCTTCTTCCCCCTTTTTCTCTCCCCAGAGGCTCATCCAAAATAGAGGAAGCATGCGAAATCTATGCCAGAGCAGCGAACATGTTCAAAATGGCCAAAAACTGGAGTGGTACGTGATCTTTCCAAGAGCCCTTCCATGGCTCGCTCTTTTCTCTCCCCTCAGCTTCCAGGCCTAAGAGCTGGCCAAGAGGTCATCCTAATAGTCCTCTCCTTTTATAGCATCTCTGGCATCGGAAACCTCTTGGCCCATTGCCCGGTCATTTTGAACCCACAGGCTGATTTTACAACTTGCGCCAACAGGGCCTTTGAGAAGGATAGAAGAGATAAGGATAAATAGATTATCGAATCCAGATGAGTGGATGGATGAGCTCCTTGAGGGGGTTTCTCCTTAAAATCAGGATGTCATGTTTCCCAAAACCGTTCCCGCCTGCTACCCTCTGAGTTCTGGGCTGGGGGAAGGCAGGGGGTCATTTGGATGGTCACAGCTACCATTCAGTGCTCACTCAGTTAAGCCTGGAGCTTGTGTTGTTAACCAATCAGAAATTGAGGCTTGGGGCCTCCTGGTGGCGCAGGGGTTAGAGACAGCACTATCAGGCTATTGCCAGTTGCTGCAGGCCAGGAAGCAACCCACATGGCACAGCAGACCTCTCCCTCTCCTGCCTTGCCCGCTGCTCCCCTCAGCAGTGTTTTTCAGTAGATCTGCCTGTTCTGCTCCCCACTCTCTCTGGTAAATCCTCTCACACACACCCCCCCCCACACACACCTCTGGCTTACACCCCAGTTCTTGTATGCATAAATAAATAAATCTTAAAAAAAAATAAAGCCGCAGCTTGTCCCAACCCCTGGCCCAAGAGGATAGAACTATTAAGTCACAACCTTGAGAAACCAGAGCTCTGACTCAGGATCCCCGAATGCTTAACCTGCTGTGCTAGTGGCTTCATTACATCATCAAAGCCAGAGTGACTTGGGTTTGTTTGTGTCAGAGCTCAGGCTGGCCGGGTGACTCTGGGGAAATCATGTGGCCTCTTCTAATGTGTTTCCTCCTTAGCACAACAGGGACAGTAAGACTTCTGAACCCTGGGAGCCCTGGAGGTCAGCCCACTTGGCCAAGGGCGATTCCTCAACGGCTGTGAGCACCATTCCTTGTGTCTGTCAGCAAGGTCGCCTCCTGCTTTGTGGTGGGAGGAGAAGCTCTTAGTGGCCTGGGTCACCAGATCCGCTAACTGGAGGAGTGCCTCCCTGGTGCCCAGCCCCACCTTCTGGTGCTCTCAGCCTGAGAGAGAACACGCATGGAAGCTCACACAACTCCCACAGTACCTCCACCCAGCCACTCATATGCCGCCTGAGACTCCGACCTCTACTGATGGGCAGCTGTTTGGTGGCCTTTCTGACTTGACCATAGGGGTGTGGTTAGACTCTGGCAAGGCTGGAGCTGGGTGGGCAAGGAAAGAGAGAGGTGGCCTGGGTGGTGGGCCTGCAGGGAAGGGCACAGAGGCAAGAAATCTGTTTGGCAGCCACCTGAGGGCTTGGAAGAGAGGACTAACCCACAGGGCTGGTTTCTCAGCAGGGCTATTAAACATCAGCTGGAAGGATTAAGGATGTGTGATTATTAGTGGTTGTCAGATAAACATAAGTAATTTCATCTGTCAGTTTGTCTTATATGAGCAGTGTTTGACATGTTGAACTTTGACCATTAAATCATTTGAATGTATTTTTGTTTTTATTTATATTCAATTTTTATTTGTAATTGACAAAGTTAAGTGGGAATTCTCAGTGTTTTTGAACCAATGTCATGCTTTGGAAAATTCTGAATATTAGTTTTAATTTACTAAACGTTGAAAGAACTGATGGTTGAAAAATGATTAATATATGGTAAGATCTATAGTTCTATTGAACAATAAAAATGTACTCTTCTTTCATTTAAAAAAAAAAAAAAATAAGCCAAGACATGGCTGGGACCTGGGCAGGACTTTCTGACCAAGAAGTAGATGAGAGGTGGGATGGGACAGTGGGGGCACAGGGTAAAATCCGTTTGCATCTTTCTCAGGGAATATTTGAGCTTTCACAGCATATATTGTGCAGCAAGCCAAATGCTGTGTGTATTTTTATACTCCCACCCTGAAAAAATTGCTTTAGAGAGAAAAATAAATAATTTAAATCACATGAATGTTGCTTTTTCCACAAGATTTGTGCCCCCCCCCACACACACACCTATTCACACAAAAGTCCTAGTCTTTTTTCCCCAATGATACTACCTTTCTTGAAAATTTTTAACTCAAGTATGGAGGCCTTAAAAATTATAAAGAAATGCTACGTGATGAAAACCCAGGTGTACTGCCTTATAGTCATGGATGCAGCTCCCTTTGAGTTGGAGGTGGCTGTCAGTGCTCCCTGAGAGAAGCAGAGACAACACGTATGATCAGAATAACTGGGGACTCGGGGAAGGTGGTGGGGCTCAGCCGCTTTCAGGACAGACTGGATGTTAGGCCTGGTCTCCACTCCGTCAGCCCATGGGCACTTGACCCCCCCCCCCACTAGAATTCATGATGTCCCCATCCTGCGTCCCTTTCTGGAAGTGAAACTTCTGGAGGGAGCAGATCTTTTGTCCCTCCTTCCTCTTCCCCTAACCCCCACCTCCCTCCCCTACCACTCCTCACATGCCTGTGGTTAGTATGGCTCCTTGACTGGAATGCAGAGAGAGAAGTCAGGAGAATTAGACAGGAAAACCTTCTGGAGACCAAGGAGAGAGACACCAGACTTGGAGGGGGCGCATAAGAGGGGAGTGTTGTGTAGTTGAATCCTGAATGACCCTCTTCCTCCATGATTCATCCTGTGCAGGCACTCTGCAGTTCCATATTCCACCCTGGCCAGGACATGCTCAGCCTCCTCAGCTGATGCACATAATATGCTCTGTGGTTCTTGGCCTTGTCTGCCTTCTCCTTCAATCTTTAGATGTGGTGGCCCTGGAGATGTTGGCAAAGACTTTGATCAGGGACATGGGACTAGCTGGGCTTACTCTGACCCACTTTCTGTACAGCTGGGGCTCAGGAGATTTCCCTGAGGCGGCGGCCTCCTCCATCAGAGACCCCCGTATGGACCACCAGAGCCTCAGTGCAGGGGCCAGGCAGGGGCCAGCCTCTACCTGGACCTACCCAGTCCCACCCCTTCCTCTTTCCAGGACTCCTTCCACACACTTGAGAGCTCGCCCTCCTCCAGGCCTTATCTGTGGCTGTAAAGCATGAAGCCCAGCTAAGGCCAGGATCCCTTTTTCTTTATTTTCCAGCTGCCGGAAATGCTTTCTGCCAGGCAGCCCAGCTGCACCTGCAGCTCCAGAGCAAGCACGATGCAGCCACCTGCTTTGTGGATGCCGGCAACGCCTTCAAGAAAGCCGACCCCCAAGGTGAGGGCCCTGGGCCACTGGGCTAGCTGCCCAGGGCACCTGCTGAACATCGTGTGGGGCTGTCCTCAGGTGTCCGAGTGGCTGTTTCTCTGGTGGCTGACACTCGATAGGCTGGCGGGCAGGGCTGGTGATCTCACTTCAGCATTGGCTCCCTTCCGCTGGCATTTGCATCCCGCCCAGAGCCTCCCCCTTCTTCGTGCGCTGCTGATGGCTCCCCTCCCAAAACCCAGGAGCATTTGGGAGTAGGAGTTAGATTTCAGACCCACCGCGTGCCAAGGAGAGAGGAAAATCTGTTCTGTAGTCGGAATTAACATGCAGAAGGGGGGTGTAAGGGGCTCTAAGACCAGCCAGGTAGGAGTGCAAAAGGAGCGGAAATGATCCTCACCTGACCCCCAGTCCCCGAAATCTGAGAGCAGAGTCCAAGAGGCAGTTTTCAGAAAACAGTTCCTTCCAGTGAGAGAGCAGTGGGGACAGAAGCCCAGTTGGGCACAGACTCCATGAGAAAGCTCTCTCAGGGCCTGAGATGGAAGCCCAGTGGTTCAGTGGGTTTGGAAGAGCTGGGCTTCTAGTTGACATTTTCATCTTGGTGCAAGATAAATAGGTACCTTCTATTTTAGCAAGCAGTTTCTTAAGAGTGGCCTTCTGCAGTCACTGTTCTCCCACACCATGATGGGAAATAAGTGAATAGTAATTTTTTTAAAAAAAGAAATGCCTGGGCCTCCCCAGTGGCACAGCGGGTTGAACACAGCTCTGTGAAGCTGTCCACAGCCTCTGCAGTGCAGGTTCGATTCCCGGCTGGCCAGGGAGATACCCACATGGCGCGGGAGACCTCTCCTGTCTCGCCCACTGCTCCCCTCAGCAGTGCTTTCAGTCTGCCTGCCTGTTCTGCTCCTAGCTCTGTCTCTGGTGAATCCTCTCACCATCCCGCGCCTCTGGCCTGTACCCCAGCTCTTGTATAAATACATAAATCTTAAAAAAAAAAAAAATGCCTAGTCTTGGAATAATGGCCTGCCCTTCCTGAGCAAGGCCAGTGTCCCAGGCACATTGAGGCCTTCGAGAACCACCAGCCCCTCATGTGCCGGCACTAGGCCTTACTGTCATGGGCATGTCATTGCTGCTGTCGAGGACCTCGTGTCCACAAAGATTTGATCTCCACATAGACTGAGCAGCCAGGGTGACTCACAGATACAGCCTAAGTGGTCACATGGTAGGCTTGGCCAGCCTTCTGCTGCGGCATTTGGCTGTGGCCCAGCACAGAGTGGAGCACCCCTGAGTGCTCCTGGGCCTTGGGCTACAGTTGGCTGTGTGGGAAACATGATGATGACCCAGGTCAACCCTGGGTCTTTTCAGTGCAAATTACCCAGAGGAGTCAGCCTCCCTCATGGAACCCTGTCCCCCAACCTTCCCTCTGTTCCTGGGGGATCTGGTTGGCCTGGAGATGCTGCCCTAGCACCTGTGACATTCAGTGGCTGCTCCAGAGGGACTGGCAGGACTTGTTTCTGGGCTGGGAGTTGAGTAGCAGGCTGTGTGACAAGTGCCCAGTGCCACTTGCTGTCAACAGCCCCTGGATGTCCCTCAGACAGGCCCACCTAGTATCATGATGCGGTCAGGCGGTGAATCTCTGCAGGGTGCATGTTGGGTGCTAGAGTCAGGGATGTTGCCCAGTGCCTGTCCTTCGGAAATACCGAAGGTGGGGAAGTCTAGGAATTAGATGCGGTGATGTGCCATTGCGGGCACAGACCAGCTGTTTCCTCTGGGGATCAGTATCCATTGGTGGGGAGGGGCTGTATGTGATAGGGGTGACCTTTCAGGAAACAGGAGGAGAGCCTCATTTGGGTTGAGCCAGGAGGGGTATTCAGTCTCCCAGCTTTGTAGCCTCACACCTGCTTGCCCCAGTTGTCATCTGGGGTCTAGGAAGTGGCACATTTGCACTGTGGAGCTGACAACAACTTTGTTTTGGGATCAGGCTAGCCTCACAAAGGCCCTTGGCAGTCTCAATGTGGTCTGGAGGATACAGTCTCAAGCGCTTGACCCTTGGGACTTCCTTTCCTGTGGGTGAAGCACACACTAAGTGAGACAAAGCACAGCCATGCCCAGTGCAGCCCAGGCCTGTGGTAACTGCCCAGGAAGGGATGGCCCTTGGCTCCCATAAGAGGGAGTCCTGGCCCCAGGTTCCCCCTTGGCCTTGTGCCTTGTGAAACAACTTGGGGTGATTTGGAGCCAAGCCTAATTTCCCCCAAGCAGGTGGCCAGCTCTCTGGCACCTTGGCTGGTAGCCTCACCTAGCACAAAGGCCTCTATCTGATGTCAGCACTGCCTACTGGATTCCTGGGGGGTCCTCCCCTCAAGAGGCAGCTGTTGCTGACTTACCTGGAGGCCTGCCAGATCCAGCAGGGGCGGAATGAAAGGATTTGGCTCTCCTCAAGGAATCAGCCTTGATTGAAGAAGGTGGAGCCTGTGGCCATCAGTGTCCCCTGGGGTTTCCCAGTCGCTGCAGGCTGTTCTGTGGACTCAAACCAGGGAGGTCTCTTACCTGCCTGCCTGATAGCTGGACCCAGGTACCTGCAAGTGCGTGTGAGTATGAGGCCCCCCTTCATGCCCCACCCCATGTTACCATTCTTAGAGGCCCACTGTATACCAGACTTGTGACCTCTTCTCTCATCCATTCCACTTCCATGTGGAATTCTGTAATTTGCCCCTATGTTACTGAGGACCGACTCCTGGGAAGTGGTGGGGACCCCTGCAGTGGGATGGGGAGGCAGCTGAAGCCCAGAAGGTAGGTCGAGGCTCCTGGGACACCCAGTCTCCCTAGGTTGGCACTTTCCCCTTCCTGGGCCTCCCCCTCAACCTGGGCTGGATCTTTCCCAGAGCTTCTTCCTGACTCCAGCTTTCTGTGGGTGAATAGAGGAGGAGGCAAGTGCACTGGGTTTTGCTCTGCTTGACCTGAGGTGACCAGGGAGTGTACCTGCTGCTGAGCCCTTGGTCCTGGTGACTGGAGGAGATAAGCTTGGTGGTAAACAGTGTGTCAGCAGCTCGTTTGCTAGTGTGCTTGCTGAGGTGGTATCTGGCAGCCTGCCACTTTCAGGGACAGCTGTCCAGGACTGAGGAGCAGGTGTGAAGGGAGTGTAACCCATGAATCCGTGTTGTTGCTGCCTGGGGTAAACAACCCCCCCCAACCCCCACCGCTGCCCCTGCCTCAGCCTTGCTAACAACCCTCCAACCAGGGTCTATGCCAGCAGGCCTGGGGCAGCAGCTGCTCAGAGCTTGTCCTGGCAGGGATCTTCCAGCCTCTTCCCCCTGCGGAGCTCTAATGTCCCTGGGATCAACCTTTGCTGTCTCTGCCTGCAGCTGCCAGGGCCAGGCTGGGTGTCCCAGGCCTTCCTGCCAGAGAGGGAGCCGCAAAGTCACTTGGGTGGAGCTGGATAGGTGTGGGAGCTCACTCCTCATCCTTATCATCCTGTGGCAACCCTACTGGCTCATCAGTCACTTCTAGAAATGCTGTTACAAAACGTGTGTGTGTGTGTGTGTGTGTGTGTGTGTGTGTGTGTGTGTGTGTGTGTGTGTGTGTGTGTGTGAGAGAGAGAGAGAGAGGGAGAGAGAGAGAGAAAGTAACTGTTTTCTGATTGTTCTTTGGCCTCCTTTTTTTCCTTCCTTTCCTCTTCCTACTGTCTCAGGCTTCCAGCTGCAACCTTAGAACCTTAACTGACTGAAAAAAAAAAAAAAGAACCTTAACTGACTGATGTGCAGTCTCCAAGTCTTCGGGGGATTCCCAGAGACCTTTCAGAATTGTCCAAAACCTACAGATTCCCCTCCCCCAGAGTAGCACTCACAGACACCCACTTTTTGCATCAAATCTAGGGCACTGGTGGACTCCCAGTCTAAGACTAAGCACCTCTGTTCACATGTTTCCTGGGAAGCTCCTGGAGTGCAGGCTGACTAGGGACCCCGGTGTTGGGCCAGCAGCCTTGCCATGCCCTGGACTGCCTCTTCCTAGCTCCAGCTCCACATCCTGCAGTCTGTCCAGTCTCTCTCTGCAGCCCCCCTTATCTCCCCCAACAACCTTCTTCTCTCCTGAGATGTATTAAAACAGTGTTAAAAAAATTCCGCCCCAAGAGCTCATCTCTATCTGCTAGAAAATGCCTCCCACTCGTGCTTCTCTCTCCTCCAAATAACTTGTCAAAAAAAAAAAAAAAATGCCATTCCCAAATTTAAAATCTTGCTAGAGATAGTACAACAAAGGTAGCCCAGTTCTTCTCAGGTGCCATCTGGGGCAGGGAAGTGGGAACAAAACCTATGGTTTGAGGGCCAGGGTCACAGTGCCATGTGGAGGAGGGCATAGGGGCTCTGCAGTGCCGAGGTGTGGCAGGAGAGAATGTGTTGATGCCAGCTGAAGGGGCCACAGTGTCAGGGCATCAGCCTCCTCCTGCCCTAGATGGAGGCCAGACATGCAGGGAGCAAGGGCTGACTCGGGTCTCACAATGGAAAGGGTGGCAGTGGTGTAGCTGGCCAGCAGCTCTGTCCTTTGATGACAGTCCCTGGGTGATGCCATAAGCCTGCCCTGTCACTGGCTACACTCTCTGGGATGGCTGGGAAGGGGGTCGTATAGTGGAGTCTGAGGGTGAGGACCACCACATTGGCAGGGCTGGCGCCTAAAGCACGTACCCAGTAAGCCACAGTCTGACCAGGTCTCCTGGATTTCAGGGCTTCCTGCACCTTCCCCGCCCAGCACCAGAGAGGGTAGCCTGGGTAGCCTGGCAACTCTGAGTGCCTATTGATCTCCCTGCAGGCAGCCTCGACAGCCTCTTCCTCTCCTGGGCTTCCGCAGAAATGACTTCACTCTCTCATTTCTCCTTCCACCCCCCTTTTCTCTCCCCAGAGGCCATTAACTGTTTGATGAGAGCAATCGAGATCTACACAGACATGGTGAGGCTCCCTGCTTACCCTGGCTCTCAGCTGAGGCCCCTATTGTCTCCCAGCCTCTCCTTTCATCCCCCCGAGTACCAAGGGCAGGTGGGGAGAGGGCGGGTGGGGGTGCTGGGAAATTTGGGTCCTCATCCAGCACCCCATCTGCCTGACTCCAGGTGGCAGCTCCTAGCACAGCACAGATCTGAGGCTCCCCCAGGTTCCTGCCTCTGGCCTTCCAGGGCCATCACCAATCTTATTTGTAACAATTCAGTTATTGCCTTGCCGCACTGTCTCATTTGATCAGCAGCTCACAGCAGGGAGCTGGGACTACGGACCCTACTCACTGGCAGGGCAACGCTGCAGTGCTGTTGTACAGTAGTGACAGCAGCTCCTTCTGTTGAACCAGGCCCATCAAGCAGAGTGCTTCTGTCCTCTGGCAGAGCCCTGTGAGGGCTCTCACTGCCCGCTTTGACAGTTAGGAAGGGGGCTTGGACCTCTGGTGGCTTGCCTGGGACAGATGACTGTATGCAGAGTTAATGAGGCCCAAACTGGGTCTGGCTGAGCCCAGGGCCCTGGGGGGGTGGGGGTGGGGAACAGAACTGTGGGCCTGGACCCCCGCTGGGTGGAGGCAGGTTGGGGATACCCAGCCCTCAGAGCTGGAGGCTTCCTTGGGAGAAGCTGTGGGGAGGTGTGGACAACGGGCGGTGTGGAGAGTGGGACATGGCCTGGGAGAAGGGTCTCCTACAGGGCCACACTGGGGAAGGGGGAGCGAGAGGGAGGCTATTTCTGGGGCGGAGGGGGGCCTTCAGGCCCTTGGCCTGGTTTCTCCAGAGCTCCTGCCAGGTGATGGTGGGCTTGTCCATGCTTCTCAGAGCCATCTGTCAAATGCTTCCTGAAGGCCAGGGCTTCTGCCAAGCACCTCCATACACATTGGCTATGGTGACTCCCCAGCAGCCTGAGCCCTGGGAGCAGGAGGGAAGTGGAGACAGGAGGTGGGGGGGAGACTGGCCTAGGGGCAGCAGTCAGACCCTCCTTGTTGGAAGTCCTGCATCCCTCTGTCCCTGTTCTCTGCCCCCCATCTTCTGTATATCTCACCTCCAGGTGCAGCTAGGGAGCTGGGAGGCCACCAGCTTCGGGGCGGGATGGGGCAGTGCACTCAGGTGTCACTGGTCACAAGCGACCCCTTCCCATGTCCCACCAGGGCCGATTCACCATCGCGGCCAAGCACCACATCTCCATCGCTGAGATCTATGAGACGGAGCTGGTGGACATCGAGAAGGTGGGTGGCTGGAGGGGGTCCTGCCTGGCCGAAAACAGGAAGGGCTGCAGTGACCAGTGCCCTGGGACCGGTGCTCCTCTGTTCCTTCCCCTTGGAGCTTCTGAGTACTGGACCAGGGGTGTGCGGCCCATGGCTGCCTTGGTGCTGCCGCCTCACCCTCCTCCTTCCTGGTGTCTCCCAGGCCATCGCCCACTATGAGCAGTCTGCAGACTACTACAAAGGCGAGGAGTCCAACAGGTACCCAGGCGCCCTGCTCCCCTCTTGCCTTCCCAGCCAGCATGAGCCCCACCCACCTCCCTCTCTACCCCACACAGCTCAGCCAACAAGTGTTTGCTGAAGGTGGCTGGCTATGCGGCACAGCTGGAGCAGTATCAGAAGGCCATTGACATCTATGAGCAGGTGAGGAAGTCCCCGTCCCTGTCCCCCCCACCCCACCAGCCCTGCCCTGCAGGGGCACAGTGCTCCAGAGTTTGGGAGGGAGTAGGGAGAGTGGTTGAGGCCTAAAGTAGCCATAGGCAGTTGAAGATCCCATCAGAGGGGGTAGGGCCGCAGGGTCCCAAGCCACAATGGGAGGGAGGGAGGATCACATGGGTATGCAGGCCCCCCTCTGCTATGTGCAGTGGGCTGGGTGGGCCCTGGCTTCTCCGTGGGCTCAGCCTGGCCAGGAGAAAGGCAGGCAGCTGGCCTTGGAGGAGAGTGGGGCGGGTCTTGCCTCTCATGTTCCCACAACCTGCCACCCCTCTGCCCACTGAAGAGCCAGCCTGCTGTTGGGCCTGACAGCGGGGCCGCCTACTCCCTTCGTCTCAGGCACATCAGGAGGCCCACAGACACCTGGCCCTGTGGCAACACCCCCCACATTCCCTGACCCTTGATTACTTACGCAGAAGTTACCCACTTTTCCAAGGCTGTGTTCTGGCTTCTCTGGCCTCGGAGCCCTGGGTAGCAGGACCCTGCTATGGCCCCAGACTCAGTTCCCAGCTCACCCCCAAGTGTCTGGCAGTGACCTAGACCCTCTGGCTGCCAGCTCTGAGCTCATAGTGCCACTTCCCTGTGCCAACAGGTGGGAACCAATGCCATGGACAGCCCCCTCCTCAAGTACAGCGCTAAGGACTACTTCTTTAAGGCAGCCCTCTGCCACTTCTGCATCGATATGCTCAATGCAAAGGTGAGCCCACTGAGATCTTCCCACCAGCCAGTGACCACCCTAGAGTACCATCAGCACCTGCCACCTGCCTTCTGGCCCCTTCGAGGGCCAGCACTCTCACCCTCTGGCTGCTGACAGTCAGCTTCTAGAGCAGAATGGCTGTTCTCACTGGGACCTTTCTGTCCCTGTTGTCACCTGCCTTCCAGCATTTGAGTTTCCAGCTCCCAGCTAGTGCACCCGCTGTGGGCTCTTTACTATGTGGGGGTGCTTTTTTAATCCTTTACACCATAAGGTTAGCACTGCTGTCACCCTGTTTTGACACTGAGGTGAAGACACCAAGGCTGAGATGAGTCCCTTGTTCAAGGCTACATGGCTAGTAAACTGCAGCCTCGGGATCCCAGAGCTTTCTGACTCCCCACCCACCCCACCTCCACTTTCAGATCTTCTAGGCAAGAGAGGGAGGGTTTAGCAACGAAGTGGGAGAGTTAAAGGGCTGATGCCGCAGCCTGCATTGGCCAGAGTTCCCTCACTGGTCCGGTCTGGCCCACAGCCATGGGACTCTGCTCACTGGGATTTCTGGGCTCTCCAGCTGCCACCCCCAATCTATAGATTATCTGAACCATAGATCCCCTCCCCCTTTGTGCAGGCTTCTGGCAGGCAGGTGAGAGCAGGGACTCTGGTGCCAAGCTGGTTCAGATTGCCACCCAACTGTGCCCTGGGCAGGCCACTGCTCTCTCTGGGTCTGTGTCCCATTTTCAAAAGGGGTCATCGTCATTGGACCCTCCCCCGGGATCTGTAAGAGTCAGGTGTGACTGCATGTAGGATATACTTCTGTGGGGCCCTTGTTTTTTGTCCCCCACCCTGGAAGACCAGGCGGGGGGGGGGGTGTCACTACCCCGCATCCACCTTGCACCCCCTCCCTCCCTATAGCTGTCCCTGCAACCATTCTGGTGCTCAGCTCCCTGAGGTGAGCCAGGCACTGAGGCTGGGGGTGGGGCACAGAGCTGACTCAGGGCCCAGTCCCCTCGTCTGCCAGACCAGCGGCTCCCAGGTTGCCTAATTGCTTCTCCCCTTCTTCCACCCTCCCCTTGCTCAGCTGGCTGTGCAGAAGTATGAGGAGCTGTTCCCTGCCTTCTCGGATTCCCGGGAGTGCAAGCTGATGAAAGTGAGTGTATCACCCAGGCCCCTTCCCTCCCGGGGTTGGGGTGGGGGGTGTTTGAGGTGGGGGGTTTGAGGTGGGAGGGGTGGAGGTCTGGAGATTTGGGCTCCAATTCGGATGATCACCAAGGTGTGTACAGAGTAGTTCTCAGGGGTCTTGTTTTGTCTTCCCTCTTCCACACTCGGTCTCAGTTTTCTATATGAGACCTAAGATTTCATAGATCTGGCACTGCTGGGCCTGGGGGCAGAGCTGGGAGACCATGTGATCTCTCTCTCTCTCTCATACACACACACACACACAAACACAGACACACACGTGTGCACACATGCGCACAGTGTTGTCAGTGAGCTTGAGAGTGACTTCTGATGCAGACACGTCCCTTTCTCATTCTTTCTCAGTCTGGTTCCCACCCTCCCCCTTCACTTCCACTCACCCAGACAGTGTATGCCTGCATCTCATCCGGGTCCTCAGCCAGCCTGAGCCCTGAGCCCTTTCTGCCACTATCTTGCAGAAATTGTTAGAAGCCCATGAGGAGCAGAATGTGGACAGCTTCACTGAGGCGGTGAGTGACTGGCTGTCTCAGATACTTTCCCTGTGAATCTCACTCTTCATTTCTGGCCCCAGCCCCTAAATGATTGTCTTCCTCCACTCACCCAAGAATCCTCACAAGAAGAAGTGCAGGGAGTATTCTCCCCGTTTTAGAGATGATGGCACTCTAAAGGAGGCTTGTCTTGGGCCTGCCTTTGGGGGCAGAGCTGGGATTCAGACCCACACCAGATGCTCCCGAGGCCAAGGTCATATTCCACTGGAAGCAGCAGTTGAGGGCTGTCCCCCCTCCTCAGGCACTTGGGGTCACCCAGAAGATATTGGGGAGGAGAGAGGGAAATGTGTTGTGTCATCTCTGCTGGAATCATAGGTCCTTAAATAATGGCAGACCCCCAGCTCCCTCCTACCTGGACCTTGGGTGTGGAAGGGAGCAGTGGGCTTGCTCTGGCCTCCCTCTCCCTAGGGCACTTGGGACAGGCCTTTTCACCTCTCCAGGCCTCTCTTTCCCATCACACAAGGAAGTGGACCTCTTGTCTTTTGGCTACAAAATCCTTTTACTCCCCCCAAGGAAGCCTTATATCCAGCCTAGTAAAGACAAAAGGGAGCCACACACATAGAGCACACCCCACCCCCACCCCCGCCTGGCTTCTTTCTCAGGATGTGCCTGAGACATATCTAGAGAATGCTAAGGCCAGAAATCCTGGCTTCAGGGTGGGGACAGTGAAGGAACCAGGCCAGGTGTGGGACACCACCCCTCTTGTCCCCGCCACCACCACCGTGTGGGCTGCAGGTAAAGGAGTACGACTCTATCTCGCGGCTGGACCAGTGGCTCACCACCATGCTGCTGCGGGTCAAGAAGACTGTCCAGGGTGAAGAGGAGGACCTGCGCTAAGCCCTGCTCTTGGTTTTCCTGCCCATCTGCCCTCCCCTGGCAGGCCCCTCCAGCGAGGATCTCAGGCGGAAGCCGGGGCAAGGTGGGGGCCTGAGACCTTGGCTGTGAGCCCTTCCTTCCTTCCCACCTGAGGAGGCTCAGGAGCCACCGTGTGGGCTCATCTTGGCTTCGGGGACACCCTAGGCCAGGGCCTGCTGGCCAGTCACCTCTGTTCTTGCTATGTCCCTCACCCCCACCCATTTATTTAAGCTCCCAGAGGTGCCCTTCCCCACCCAAAGAACAGAATCCTTGACACAGACATACCTGCTGTGGGTGCTGTCGGGGTCTGGGTCAGCTTCTGGCCCCCATCTCCCGACCAGCTGAGTCTTGAACTGGATTCTCTCCCCCACTCTTGTCTCCCAGCCCAGCTCTGAGCACATGTAGCCACTGAGATTTGCTCTCACCACTGGGGGTGGCCTCCTTCCCCCCAGCCTCCCGCAGCCCCAACCTCTCAGGATAGACCCCAGACCCTGGAGCTCCAAGGGTGGTTCTGCACCCGCCCATATCACCTTCCCCAGTGCTTTGAGGTTTGTCAGTCAGAAGCTGCAGCTGGCCCAAGAAAGAAAATTAAAAAACAAAACAAAACACTTTTGCATGAGTCTCTTCCTCTTTGCCTCTGCTCCCCACTTCATCCTTAAGGGCTGTTGTCTATCTTCCTGTCCTTCCTAATCCATGTCTCCTTGGGCTCTGGGTACACTGTGTGGGGAGTGGAGACTTGGCTGGGTCAAAGCAACTAGGGGAGGGGATGCCTAGGGATGGTGGGAGTCCAGGATGTCAGATTTGATTTGACTCTGGGCCCTTGGGCTGTATGGCCTGGTTTTCTCAGCAACCCCAGGAATGCTGGAGAGGACAGGCCTCAGTGGTGTAAGCATGACTGGAAGAAGCCCACGGATCTCCCAGCCTCACACCATGCCCACATTTCCCTGAAAGCTGGGCTGGAAGCCCTAGTGGCGTTTGTTCCATCTGTTGCAGGACGGGGGAGGAAGCGGCTGGAGGGGGGCGCAGAGCATGAGGACCAGCGGGAATGGGGAGTGGGAGAGGAGATGAAAGGTGCCCTTTCTCCAGAAAAGGCAGGCAAGAACCACCCACCATTCCATGGTCCACCCTGTAGATCTGTATTGCAGGTGAATGGACTGATGGGTGCTGGAGGGGGGCACAGGGCTGAAGAAGGCTCAGCACCTAAGGCAGGCAGTATCAGGAAGTAGATGGCCAGTGATGCAGAGGAGGGGTGGCTCCTTGAGGCATGTCCCAGCCTAGAGCCAGGGATTTGAAAAGTTCTGGTTCTTCAGGTAGAAAGTGACCACATAGGACTCCGTGACCTGCTCTTCTGTCTCCTTCGGCTCCTTCCACAGCCTAGTCAATTGTGCTGAGAGCTTGGTTAAGACTCCAAAGACCTGAAACGGATTACCAATGCCTGCATTGGCACAGGTGGGAGGATAAATAGTGTGAAAATCTTTCTTTGCCATGGTGACCTTAAAACAGTGATTTTCATCGCTGCCTGTGCTCTCAAATCATGAAAAGCACTCAGGCTTGGGCCATGCCGTAAGTGGTGCTTTGATGGATGTTCTTCACTCTTTTGGATTCAAGTGCACAGTGGGAGTTGGAAACCAGTGCACAGTGCAATTCTTTTCCATTCTAACCCACAACTTCCTTCACTCAACAAACATGAAGTGAATATGGTTTAGTGGTTACCGCATCAGGTAGAGGAAGCCTGAAGAAAACATGGTTCAGAAGTGGCAGATCAGACCCCACTTCTGGAAGAGTCAGTGAATGCTAAACACCTCCTGTGTGCTGTGCCCTGGTCTAGACCCTGAGAGTACAGTATTGAACAGCTTAGCCAGACCCTGCCCTGGAGCTTTTTCTTCCAATAACTCCAGAAATGAAGATGTGACACACAAACTCCTTCCTTTCCACCCGCCTCCAGGTCCAATCTGCCCTTGAGTATGTCCCTCTTAAACAGTGTCCTAGCTGTTTGGCAAAGAGTCTAGCACATACTTACTAAATGTTTGCTTTATGTCAGGCCTCATGGTCCAGGTGCTGGGTATCTGACCAAGGGAGATCCAGTCACTGCCTTCTGGGATTCTAGGTGCATGCACGTATTTTGTTCTGCCTGGAAGGGAGTGACACCTTATGGCTGGAACAGTTGACCAACTCATGTTGGAAACAATAGGTTTAGAGACCCCAAGCCCCTCATGCCCTTTTGAGGACAAAAAAAGGCCAAAACATTATAACCCCTACATAACTCGAAGTCAGAAACGTGCCTCTCTCTACCCGTCACTATGGTATCAGTCCAGAGACTTGATCTTCCTGAGTCTCAATTTCATCTATAATTGGGATCATCTCTTTGCACGGTTGTTGTAAGGGTGTACTGACAAATGTGTCAGGGTGGACCTGCGCATTGTGCTCAATCAATGCAGAACAAATGAATTTGGGGTAACGACGGAGTGACTGAGAATTTGATGAGATAATCTAGTCAACACAACCCTAGTTTTTACCAAAATGTAGGTGATAAAGAAGGTGGTTTTTATTACTATTAATATTTTTGGCCAGGACAAATAGCTAGATCTTTTTATTTGGGGGCAAGAAAAATGGATTTCACTGTTTTTAAGGGGTGCACTTAAACTATGGAGCTATCTCGTTTGGATCCCAATACTGACAGCTCCTGATTAGCTGTGCGATTTTAGACAAATTACCTCTCTATGTCTCGATTTTTTATTTATTTTTATTTATTTATTTTTTCTTTTGAGTGGCTCATAGCCACCATTTTTATTTTTATTTATTTATTTATTTTTAAAGATTTATTTCTATTTATTTATACAAGCACTGGGTACAGTCAGAAGCGCGGGAGGGTGAGAGAATTCACCGAACCAGAGCGGAGAGCAGAGTAGGCAGAAGGACCGAAGGACACTGCTGAGGGGAGCAGTGGGTGGCAGGAGAGGTCTGCGCGCCATGTGGGACCCTCCGCTGGTGGCTGGGGAGCAGCCGGGGATCGAACCGGCGCTGCAGAGGCTGCGGGCAGCTTTGCAACCCAGCGCTCAACCGCTGCGCCACTGGGGAGGCCCTCGATTTTTTAATCCAAAGAACATTACTGGAATACTTACAGCTCCCTATCCCCACCCCCGCTGTTGTGACTTTTTGATAAATTGATAGGTGGAAAGCGCTTAGAACAGTACCTGGGCAGTATTAAGAGTATTAAGTTGTGTGCTTCTTATTACTCTTCCACACAGCCCACAGCGAGGGCCACCACCTCCCATCTTCATGCCACAATCCTTTCAGGGCCCTGACAAGGACCAGGGAAGTGGGGCGCAGGCGCATTGGGGCAAAAGCGCCTGACTGCCCGACTGGCCGCCATATTGGTTAAGGGCATGGGCAGCAGCTTCCGAAAGTCATCAATCCGCGCGACAGGCAGGCAGCCGGAGATCCAGGTCGCTTCAGTAGCTGTGGCTGGGTAGGCCAGGCCGTGGCGGGGGTTGCAGGGGTGAGTGGTTGAGGGGCTTGATGGGGGAGGCGGCCGTGGCCGCGGGGCCCTGCCCGTTGCGCGAGGACAGCTTCACGCGCTTCTCGTCGCAGAGCAATGTGTACGGGCTAGCGGGAGGCGCGGGCGGGCGCGGGGAGCTGCTGGCCGCCACCCTTAAAGGCAAGGTGCTGGGCTTCCGCTACCAAGACCTCCGACAGAAAATCCGACCCGTGGCCAAGGAGCTGCAGTTCAACTACATTCCCGGTGCGTGTCGCCACGGCGCTGGGGGGCGGGGGCTGAACTGTGTTGAGAAGGATTCTGAGGTTCTGAGTCGCAGCACCGTGATGGGAGAAGGGGGTCAAGGTGATGAAGGGGATCAAGACTCATCATCAGGAGGCTTCGGGGTCAGGGGCCAGGGATTATAGGATTCAAGATCCGCCCCCCCCCCCAACCACCCCCACCACGGTGGTGCTGATCAGGGCTCACTGGAATGCAGAGGTTGTGTGATAACTGTAGGGGTCAGAGGTTACAGACTCCTAGAGGTCAAGGCTCACTATCATTGGGGATACTGGATTCAGCGCTTCCCTGAATGAACATTTTGAACTATCCCCTCCCAGTGGATGCTGAGATTGTCTCCATCGACACCTTCAACAAGTCACCCCCAAAGCGGGGCCTGGTTGTGGGGATCACATTCATCAAGGTACCCAGAGCCCCCTCCACCTACCTTTATCCCTGTTCCCTGCTCTCTTCATGCACATGGTGCCACCCAGATCCCTTTGGCAGCCCCTCCTCTCCCCTGAGGCCACTTTCCTTCCCCAGGATTCAGGGGACAAGGGCAGCCCCTTCCTCAACATTTACTGTGACTACGAGCCTGGCTCTGAGTACAACCTTGACTCCATTGCCCGTGAGTGTGGCCTGGAAAAGAGGAGTGGGGAGGGCAGGGGAGGACCTCTAGTCGCCAGATCCATCCACCTGTGCTCTCCCTACAGAGAGCTGCCTGAACCTGGAGCTCCAGTTCACTCCCTTCCAGCTGTGCCATGCAGAGTAAGTAAACATGGGTGTGATGCAATAATGGAGTATATATAAAAGGCAGGGGATGTGTCAGTGGGTCTGAGTGTAGCGAAATGGGCATCACAAACCTGCTCCATAGACAGATCATAGTGGGGTTTTGTTTTTGTTTTCGTTTTTAAGCACTGTTAAAGTGGCCATTGACTGATTGGCTACCATTTTGTTTTCCCTGAACCATATAAATCATTTGAGAGTTAATTGAGTACTAAAGTTCCAAACGTCTGACTTCTCACTTCCCAGATCCAAAAATGTTAAAGTTGTGAACTCTGAGATTCCAAGATTTAGAAGTCCCACAGTTTGATGATTCTGAGATCCTATAGTAGTGATGTCCTAACATTCTCATATTTTAAGGATATAGAATATAGACTGTATGGAATGCTGAGGTTCTAGAATCCCCATGTATGTGAATTCCATTTTAGAGCTTTGAATTAAATTCTCAAACATCAGTGTTCTGACACAGGGTTTGGAAGTCCAGACAGTCTCTGTCACAACCACTCAAGTCTTCCATTGTAACAAGAAGGCAGCCATTTACACCATGTAAATGAGCGGACGTGTCTGCATTTCAAATTTTTACTTACAAAAACAGGTGGTGGGTCAGATTTGACTTGTGGGTGATAGTTTGACAAACTCTGATCTAGCAGGGAAATGTTCTAGAAACTGATGTTCCGGATTCTAGGAATTAGATTTTCTACCATGCTAAGTCTGGATATCCATGATTACAAATTTCTAAAATTTCAGATTTCTAGTTTTGTCCAACAAAGGAGAAGATGGAGCTTCTAGAATACTAGGGTTCTAAATTGGAGAGGGTCTGGTATTCTGAGGTTCTGCAGTCTGTTCTAGAGCTCCATGTTCCATTCCCAAATTCACATCCAGACTGGAGAACTTAGCAGGTAAGGGCTCTGGAAATGGAAGGTTCTAGCATGTCAAATTTCTGCAGTTCTGAGATTGGAAGGCTCTATAGTCTGTGAGTCCCAGAGGCTAGAGGACTTGTTTCTACAACTCTGCACTCTGCAGTTCTAGCTCTGGATCCAAGAACTTTAGCACACTTGTAGGCAAGGGTTTTTGCGGAAAGGTCTTAAAACACATGGACTCCCTCCCACACTTGGGTTCTGCCACACTGGGATTCTAGATTTCTCTGTTTGTAGGGTCCAGGTTGAGGATCAACTGGAGACCGTGTTTCTCCTGAGTGGGAATGACCCGGCCATTCATCTCTACAAGGAGGTGAGGCAGGGAGAGGCTGGGTGGGCAGAGCCAGACTGGGGTCGCCAAAGGCTGGCTGCTGACTTCAAGTGGGGTTGGGGGGTGGGTCTTGATTCCACCAGAATGAGGGACTGCATCAGTTTGAGGAACAGCCCGTGGAAAACCTCTTCCCAGAGCTCACGAACCTGACCAGTAGGTAGGAGAGCCCCTACAAGTGGCCAGCAGGGCCCAGTCTAGTGGCCGCCAAGAGATCATGTGGTGGGAATAACCTCCAGTACTGTGGGGAGTAGCAATCACCTTGAGAGAATTGGAAGACTCGAGAAATTGGTCCACAGTGGTGATCCCAGAGAAAATGGGAAGTGGCCACAGACAAATCTGGTGGCAGACGGTGGAGGGTGGCAGAGGGAGTCCCAGGGCTATAGGGAAGGGGGTAGATGTTCCTGTGGAGGCAGAGGTGCAGGGCTGGGGCCAGGTGATGGCCCTTCTGCCTGCCTGCCTGCCCCCTAGCGTCCTCTGGCTTGACATCCGCAACCTGCCTGGCACATCCCGGCGAATCTCGGCTCTCGGCTGTCAGAGTGGTTATGTCCGAGTGGCCCACGTGGACCAGCGGCGTCAAGGTGATGGCAGGGCTGCGGGGGTCTGGGTCTGGGGGCATAGGGCAGCACCCTGAGTTCTCGCCACCCCCCTCCCCACACACAGAGGTTTTGCAGACGTGGACAATCCTGCAGGATGGCCCCATTTCCCGAGTGATTGTCTTCAGCCTCTCTGCCCCCGAGGGTGAGCAGCTCCCTAGCTCGGTTTCCCTACCCAGATTTGGGACCCTTTCCCAAAGTGTCCAGCTCCCACCTCCCCCACTTCTCTATGCCCCGCCAGCCCCTGATTGATGGTGCGCCCCTTCCTTCCTTTCCCTCACCCCTCTCCCCCTCACTTACCCCATGGCCCCATCTCAGGCCATTACCTGGAGTTGAACTTCTGCCATGCCCCCATGGCCTAACCGTTGCCTGTCATTTTGTGGCCTCCTCTCTGGCCTCTTCACTCTGTCTCTGGCTGCAGTCGAACCCCTGGCTTTTCTGGTGGACGCAACATGGTCCCACCACTCCAGGCCTCCTCTTCCTCACCTCCCCTACATGTTGGTGCTCCTGGTGGGTCTACCCTCACCTGATGTGTCCCTCGGCCTGGCCTCTGCTATCAGTATCTGTCCCTTGGGTGGTTCTTGACTGTCTTCCTCTGGTCACTACGATCTAGCCTGAGACTTTTCTGCTGTCACCCAACCTTTGTCCCTTCGACACCAGCCTAACCTTTGACTTCAGAAACTGTCATCAGCTTTGTGCTCTTCCTGGTGGCTGTCCTTCAGCAGTCTCTCATGGTCTAACCTCTAACCCTCCCTCTGGAGCACAACCCCAAGTCTTTCTCCTGTGGTCTGACCTGCATTCCTCTCACTGAAGGGAGGGTTTTAGATGGGGCTGGGAACCTGTACCCTCAGACTTTCCCCCACTCCCTGTTCTCGCTCCCTCTCCAGAAACCACGGACAGGTCACAGCCAGAGGAGTACAGCCTGCTGGTGGCCAGCATGTTGGAGCCGGCAGTGGTATATCGGTGAGGGGGGTTGGGGGTGCTGTGTGGGTGTGGTCTAACCTTGTGCTTTTGGCCCGTGGTCTAAGCTGATCATTCTCAGCAGAGAGATCCCTCGGGTGAGGTGGTTCAGGACTGGGCAGGTGAAAGTGTGCCTGTCCCAGGGACAGGGGTATGGGGTGGAATTTCAAAATTTGCAAGGACGATGTGGAGGCTTTGAAGTAGAACCATAAGTCTAGTCCTCCTGGAGCAGTTGGAAGGAGCGTGCCTGTCAACCAGCTCCATGTATATAAAAGCCCAGAATCTTGGTGTTAGCTGATTTCCAAGGTGTAAGTACTCAGCCCCCTCCCTCTGGTGGATTCCAAGTCACCAACACATGCCTGCTGGCTTGTGGAATTTCTGGAAATTTCCCATTTGGCTCTAGTGAGCCAGTGCCAGCTAGCTATGGCACATCTGGTAGACAGTGAAGAAATCCAAGCTGGGGTTGAGCTCTCTAGGCTCCAGGGGCAGTGTGGGTGACCAGACTGAGGACTAGGGGGCCCGCAGTCTGCAGTGAGCAATTGTGAGTTCCTCTGGGTGGATATGAAAGATGACCACATTGTATCTGGGCTTCAGGAGGAGCAGGGTTGAGACCTGAGCAGGGCAGCAGGATGGGCACCTGGCCCAGGGTCTGCCACTCAGGGTGGCAGGCCCTGCAGTCTGACCCCTGTCTCCCTCAGGGACCTGCTGAGCCGGGGCCTCAAGGACCAGCTCCTCCTGCCCGGCAGTGACCAGTTTGACAGTGTCCTTTGTGGCCTGGTCACCGATATAGATTTGGATGGGCGGCCAGAAGTCCTGGTGGCCACCTACGGACAGGTGAGAACCAAGGGAAGGGGCCTCCACCCACGGTCCCTGCCATGGGCCCCGTCCCCTTGTGTGACCGGGCCCCTTGCCACCCCTGCAGGAGCTGCTGTGTTACAAGTATGGGGGCCCGGAGGCTGGATTCCGCTTGCTGTGGCAGCGCGGCTTCTCCAGCCCGTTACTGGCCATGGCTCACGTGGACCTGACTGGGGATGGGCTGCAGGAGCTGGCCGTGGTCTCCCTGAAGGGCGTGCACATCCTGCAGGTAGCCAGGGTGCTCTCAGCAGAGCCTGAGAGGGGGGTTTTGCACACCTGCTATCTTGAGGTGGTGCTGTCATGGGGCAGGGGCAGGGCAGGGGGGCCATTCAGCCCCACCCTGGGAAGGAAGTAACCCATATCCGGGAAGTGGTTCTGTTGGCCACCTGTCAGGAGAAGGGGATGCTGGGCACATTACCACTGAGGGTCAGCCACCAGCATGGGGAAGGGGATTCTGATGGGCCATCTGTCACCCTTCATGGCCCCCTGGCCTGCCCTCACCCTTCCTAAATTCTATCCTTTCACGGTGGCCATGACTTGGGGCTCACCATGCTCTAAGCTCAGTCTTCACTGGTGGTCTAGCCTTCGCCGTCCATGTCAAGCAGTGCTGTGTCCTCCTTAAGACTTTGTTCTGGCTGAGGTCGAACCTCCAGTCCGCTTTGATTGCTGACTTTCCAGGTCACACGCCTGCCCCATCCTTAAACCTGCTTCTGACCTTGAACCCTTCTACTTCGGTCTAACTTTGAAATTTTCTCTGGCGGTCAGGCCCTTGAACTGAGATCTGATGTTCAGCCTCTTCCTGTACTTTGACCTCTGGCCTTTCCAAAGCAGGCTAACTGCCATTACCCCTTCCAGTCTGGTAGCCTACCCTCCCAGTAGTCCAAGGTCTAACCTTGAACTCACCATTGCAGCTTATCCTCCAACTACTAGAGTCTCATCTTTGACCATTTTCCCTCTGGCTCGGCCCCTCCCCTTAAGCTAAGGGCATGCCTTTGTTTCCTAATCTGGGGTTTGCCTCCCCCTTCCCTCTGGTCTAGCTTTGGGGTCCTTTCTGTTCTGGTCTAACCCAGGTTCATTCTACCAGAGTCTCCCCTTAATGCTTTCTCTACTGTCTTTGTCTGGGTCTTTCCCTACAGTTTAATTTTCAGTGGAGTGGTCTAGGTTAGACTGTAGGAGAAAAGATAGAGCTTGGACCCCAATGGAGAGGTTTGAGGTGAACCACAGTGGCTAGGACAAAGGTTAGACCCAAATAAGATGGCATGTGGTTAGCCAAGTGGAGAGATCTGAGATTAGACCCTGGTGGAAATGACAGATAATTCCTCAACCCTGTTACGAAGGACCTAGGGTCAACCCCAGTGGGGAGGTCTGAGGTTAGACCCCAATGAAAAGGACAGAAAGCACTGAGGTTAGACCACAGTGGAAGAGATTATGTCCAACCTGGGGAGAAAGGACCCCCCTTTCATTGTCCTCTATCCATCCCATCATCCCTCTTTGAGATGTGATTCAAGGTCCCATCATCATAGTGTGACCTACTCTCTGTCCCTTTTGTTAGGAGTCTGACCTCAGCTCCTCCAACTAGCTCTAGGGACAACTAGCTCCGTCCCTCGTGTGGTGACACATTCCTCTCCCTTTCATTCGCTTGGCTCTGTCTCTGTCCTGTTGGTCATCCTTCTCTGCCAGGGCTCCCCCACTGTGGTCAAACCTCATTCACATGCAACTTAATCTCTCACTCATAGTTTGATCCTCCCTGATCTAACCTCAGACCAATCACTTGGGGCTAGGCTTTGTTCCTCTTATTGAAAACACATGTAAGGCTGCTTAAGTCCCCCCCCGACCCCAGGTCTCACCTTCACCCCATCACAGGACCCCTTCTCAACCCGCACACTGCAGTCTTCTTCTATGTCTCGCACAGCCTTTGAGGTAGTCTAACCCCAGACCCTCCCACTGGTCTCCCCAGCCCCCTCCAGCTCTGTCTCAGCCCCACCCTCCTCCTCTTGTTCCCCCACAGCACAGCCTGATCCAGGCCTCGGAGCTGGTCCTGACCCGGCTTCGGCATCAAGTGGAGCAGAGGAGACGTCAGCCACAAAGGCTGGGGGACAGGGTGGGTCCAGGGTCTGCTGGAACCCTGAGCTCCTGAGTACCCACCCACTGCCCACCCCCAGCCTGAGGTCCCTTGATGTGGGAGAGGCCTGGTGAAGGCAGGATGCTTTCCCTCAACCTCCCAGCTGTGAGTTCCTGTTCTGGCTCCGTTCCAAGTACCCTGTGACCCCAACTTCTGTACTGTGCTTTGAGCCTCAGTGTTCTCATTTGAAAATGGGATGATCTTCTAATCCCAACAAGCAATGGTCAGCCAGCAAGTATTTATATGTCCAGAGGGAAACCAAATTCTCAGTTGTCTTCATTCTTTTGTTCAACAAGCATTTGATGAGCGCCTGCTATGTGCCCTGTGCCATGTCAGGTGCTTACCTCACCCAGAAGAATGGAGGGGGGGTGATGTGAGGGAGAAACACTCCCAGGTTAGACCCAGAAACTGGATTAGGTGAGGTCTTAGTACAGACCCCAGAGGAAGTGAATTAGACTCTAACCGAGAGGCTGAAGAAATTAAACAACTGTGGAAAAGACTAGAATGTAAGACAGAAGACTGAAGTTAGACCCCAGGGAGTGAACAGAGGTTTAACCATGTTAGAGAGAGCTGAGGTTAGGCCTAGGCCTACAGGGAGGACTCAAGTTAGACCCCAGTAGAGAATTCTGAGGTTAGAACCCTGCAAAGGAGGTCTGAGGTCAGACGCCAGTAGAAAGACAAAGAAATTGGACCTCAGAGGAAAGGATATTTGAAGGAAAGGAAAGGACTGCTGTGGGAGAGCTTGGGTCAAATTGTCGCAGAGGGTCTGAGGTGGACCCCTATGGGTAATGCTGAGGTTGAAATGTAACAAAAATTACTTAGGTTCCACCCTGTGCCAAGGACCACAGGTAGACCCCCAGCGGGAAATAATTGAGGTTAAATCCCAGTGGGGGAGTACGGAGATGAGACCAGGCAGACAGGACCCAGGATGTACCGTGCTGGGAAGGACTAAGGCTAGACCTAATCTGAAAAGCCCCTGGAGTTCGGAGACCAGGGAGTTAGAGACGAGGCTGATTTCCCCAGTCTATGGCTGTAGGAACTGCCCCCTCCCGTGGTCTGGTGGATGGCAAGGAATCAGAGGCCTATATCTCAGGGACCAGTGGAGGGCGGGGATGATGGAAGAAATCTGGCCTTCCCCCACCGCCAGCCAGGAATAGAATCCAGGTCAGGAGGGGTAGAGAGTAATTCCTGAGCAGGCTCCAGGCTTGTGGGGAGGGGGGGACTCCTGCACCCTGGGGGAGCTGGTCCGCCCCCATGGTCATGCTGGCCACCCATCTGCCTCCTCCCTTGGAAGCCCACCCAGCACTGACCAGGAAGACCAAACTGCCAGTTCTCCAAGGGGGGTTGTGGGTGTGTGCCCACCCATCTCCAGCCCCTCTCCCAGAACCCGTGGGAAATTGCAGGGAGCTGGATCAACGCCCTCCTCTCCTGGCAGTGGGCCTAAGGGTGTCCAGCCAGGACTGGCACCATGTGAGGGCCACTGGTGGGAGCAGGGTGCCCCCTCCCGCATACCGCCTGCTGATGTGGTGCCTCTATCACTTCCCATTCTGGGGGAGCGTGGGAGGCTGGGCGGGATTTGGGGTGGTTAGTTAGTAACGGTGTGGGAGTGCGATCACTGTGTACACTTCCGGGCCCACAAGTTTGCACCTCCAGGAGCCACCTGTCTGGTCCTCTGCAGTCACTTCCTGTCCTTGTGCCAGATCCCTGGTCTGGGCCAGTGTGTAGTGGAGCTGAAGCCACTTATGCCACGGTTTCCCCATCTGTAAAATGGGGCCGATAATACCAAGGGGTGTGAGAGTTGGTCGTGGCAATGTGTGTCAAGTGCTTATAAAAAGCTGGATAACCGTGCCTGGCACTGGCAAAAAGCAGTATGAATGGCGACTTGTTATTATTATTAATGGGAGCCTTTGTGGTTGTTTCTGGCTTGCTTTGTGAGGTTCCGTCTGCAGGCACTGTTTGTGAGTTTGGATCTGACTCTGGCTAAATATTCTCGCCCTCCCCCCAGTTCTGTGAGCCTGTAACTATTTCTAGCTGTTTTTGTGTCTTTTGGCCCTTGTGTGCATCAGGGCTTGTGTGTGTGTGTGTGCGTGTGTGTGTGTCAGCAGCCTCCAACACACACACACACACACACACACTCTGTGCCCTCACCGCTGTCCCCAGCCTGTGGTGCTGAACTGGGGTGGGAGGTGTGGGTTACCTCTTCCTGCTCCTCCCGCGCCTCTGTCCAGGCCCCTCCCCAAACCTCCCCCGCCCGCTGCCCCTCTCCCCGCCTCCTCCTCCTCCCCTCCCTCTCCGGCTCCTCCTCCCGCTCAGTCCCTCCTCCTCCCTCTCTCACTGACTCCCCCTCCCCTGTGTCCCTCCCCCTCCTCCTCTCCTCCCTCTACCCCTCTCCCTCCCCTCCACCCTGGCTCTCCCTCTCAGTCTCCGGCTTCCCTCTCTTCCTCTCCTCTCTCACTCTCTCCCTTTCTCTCTCTCTTTCTCTCTCTCTCCCCCTCTCTCCTTCTGTCGGGAGTCGCCCACCACTGCCAGCCCAGTATAGGGGGGAGCTGCTCCACTGCTCCAGGCTGTAACTGCAGGTAAGAGCCCCCCAGTTACCCCAGGCGGACTGAGGGGGGTGGCTTTGAGAAACCGGGAGCTGCTTTTCCCTGAGCTCGTTTATGGGGAGTGGGGGGCTGCAAACCCGGGGTCCTTCCTCGGGGTGGGGGGCAACTCCAGCAGCCAGAATGTTTAGCCCCCCCTGTGATCCAAGGGGGGGGCCTCGGAAGGGGGCACGCCTGGGCAGTGAGGGGGCGAGAACACCCCACCCCGTCTGGATGGGGCAGCCCCCGCTCCGGCTCCCTGCCTCCGCCCCCGCCTTCCTGTGTCTGGGTCCCATCTTTCTGTGTCCACATCTCTCAGGGGTCCCTGTTCTGCGGAGTCTGGCAGCTTCTTCCGTCAGTCAGGCTCCCTGAATCCCTGTCCCCGACTCACTCGTGTCTCTCTGCACCGGGTCTGTCTGTCAGTCCACGGTTTCCCTCTGCCTTCCTCTTTTGCCATCTCTGTGTTTCTCTATCTCTGTACAGTCAGCTTTCCTGTGTCTCTTCCAGTTGTTCTCTGTCTCTCTCTGTGTCTCTGTCTCTCTCTCCCCTCCATCTCTAGGTATCTGATCTCTGTTTCTCTCTTTCCTCTTCCTCTCCCTGGGAGCCAGTTAACTCTCCTCCTACACACCTTTGTCTCCGCCCCTGACAGGAGGGAGACCAGGAAGAAAATTATCCCCTCCCCCCCACAGAGTGGGCTCCCCCAGAAGGTGCGGAGTCCCCAAACTCTCCTGTGCTGGAGCTCCCTCCCGTCCTTCTTGCTGGCAGCGCCCCATCCCCGCCCTGAAGAGAGCTCCCCTCAGCTCCCCTGCCTGGCTTCTGCCATCCTGGGGCCAGCGCTTCCTGCATTCTGACCTGTCCTGTTTTGTAGTAGCCCTGATTCAGTCCTCTCTTCAGTCCGACCTCATGCCTCTTCGTCTAGGCTGAACTGGTCCTGCCAGGAGTCTAACTTCCATCCCTCTCTTGCTGTTTATCCATTCCTTGTTCGTTCCTTTGGCAATTACCGAGCAGCTTTCTGACTCCACTGGTCCTTGGAGGTTCTGAGAGGGCTCTTCTGAGTCTAGAGGTCCCTAAGCAAAGCACTCTCTTTCTGGAGGGAAGGGGGCCCTGGAGAAGGTGGGCGGGAGTGAGTGACAAGGGGAGAGGTGTGAGCCTGTAGCCCACGCCTGCTGTGATGGGTGCAGAGTGAGGTCCCCAAGTGCCCACGTTCGGGTTTGGAGTCCCATGCCTTGAGTTTGCATCTCTGCTCTTGCCCCTGCCTTGAAGCTGTGGACTTGGCTAAGCTCTTTCCCCCTCCTAGCCTCAGTTTCCACATAGGTGTGCCACAGCCCTGAGCACCAGGCTCTGTGATCCCAGACTGGGATGTGCATGGTTGATGGGAGGGCCTGGCTCACCTGGGGCAATGCATGTTTAGAAATCTGTGTCCCCCACCTCACACATTACTGAGCCCCCTGGTGCCCCAGAAGCAGAGTCCGGAACCACTGGCCCCTGCCAATATGAGGACCATGAAGGAGGGAGTCCCACCTGGCATGCCAAACAGGAGCGTCCACACCCCAAATTTGCAGCCCCCCTCTATGGAGGTCCAGTGAAGTCTCTGAGGCCCCAAGAAGTGTGCAAAGCAGGACTGGGGTGCTCACCACTGACCCAGCTGGCCCTCAGCCCAGCACAGTGGGTAGAGATGGCCCCAGGAGATGCTGTTGCCATCTGCCCTCCCAGCTCCCACCCCTCCCTCAACCTGATCCTTCTACCCCTGGATTCAAAACCCAGATTAGGTTTCAGGGCTGCTGGTGGACCAAGAGACGCAGAGGCAGGCGCCTCAGCAGAGGGAGCCCAGCTGTCTCCAGTGACATGGTTCAGACCTCTTGTTGGTCGTTCATGTCACAAATATTTATCTAGGGCTTTCTCTCCCTGACCGCCCCCCCCCCTTCTCGCCTACAGCCTCAGTAAGAGGAAACCAGATTTTGCAGAAAAAGGGACTTGAGCCAGGCTACTTTACCCAGGCCTGACCATTAAGTAACCCTGGTTCCCCTGGAGCACTGCAGCTGGAGGGATGGGTGGTTAGACTTCAGGGAGGACTTTCAGGGACAGTGGCCTCTCCATGGGAAAAAAGATGCTTCAGATGAATTCTTGACTCCCAGGTGGCCCTGGTTCCCCTCAAAGCTGGGGAGGAGGGGGGAGGGAAAAGAGAGCACTGAGTCTTTGCTTTGGAGCCTGGTGGGTTTGTAATTATGCCTAAGTTGTTGCTAATTAGGGGGCTGCTAATTAGATGTGTCATTAGGGGCCTTGCTGAGGGGGCTAATTGTGCGGTGGTCCTTTAAGAATCACCCTCTCCTCCCCTTACCCCCCCACTCCCGCCTACACACACACATATACACACACACACACATTCCTCAGGGACTTTCTGCCAAAATTCTGCCTCCCTCCCCCGGCAAACCAGCTCCCAACCTGTGAGTTCGTGGGTTTGTGTTGGGGTGGGCTGTGGGTTAGACTCCAAGAAGAACCTTTCATCCAGATGTGGAATTTACAAAGGAAATGCAGCCTGTGGCCAAAAGGGAGGTCAGAGAGGGGGAGTGTCTCAGGACCCATCCCTTTCTCTCTTCACCCCCTTTTTATAGGCTACTGGGTAACCAGGGCAATACTTGGGTGGGGCAGAGGAGCTGGAAGATTAATTTGCTGAGGCGCGGTGAGCGTTATTTAACCTCTCTGAGCCTTGGTCCTCTCCTCTCTGAAATGGCATTCTGAATACAGTGGTCAGGGAAAGTGAGAGCTGAGTTGAGATGGAAGGGGAGAGGGAGTGGATATGTGAGGGAAGAGTGTTCCAGGAAGAGGGAACAGCAGGTACAAAGGCCCTGAGGCAAACACTTGGCTGGTGTGTCGGAGGAACAGCACTGAGGAAGTGTGGCTAGGGCCAAGGGAGCAAGGAAGGTGAGGCCAGAATGGAACGGGAGCAGAGAAATTTGTTTCTCTGTATAAGACAGAGCCCGGGAGGGTGCTAAACAGTGAAAGGAGACCTGAGCCAGACAGAAACAGCCACTCAAACTCAGCCCCAAAGGTAGTACTGAAACCACAGAGACCCCACACCACAAATAAGAGAAAAAAGCCTAATGGGGGACTCATCTCACAGCTACTAAGGAATTATGTACCTCACAGAGGCCCAGGAAATAGCTTGGATACCTGAGGATGCTAGGGAGATATGTACCATTATCGTGGGGAAGGTATGAATGAGAAATCCTCCGTCAGCTCTTCCTCAGACAGACACTCACCATAATGCAAATCTCTAACTGGAACCAACTGAAGGGCAGGTTGCAAATCAGAAGAATCATTTAATGATTTTTGGGGCTCACAGTCCCTTGCCTCACCCACTGTTGTGGCTGGTTTCATTCATACATTAAATATCTTTAAGGTTCAACTGTGTTGGGATAATCCACAGCCACTCCCTTTTCATGGCTATATAATATTCCACGCGAGTACTCTGCAATCTATTTTATTTGACTGCTCACAGGTGTTGGAATTGTTTCAAGATTGGAACTATTATAAGTAAAGCTGCTGTGACCATTCCTGTACATTTCTTCCAGCAGACACAGATTTCTTTCACTTGGGTACATACTTAGTTGCAGAATTGCTGAACTGTCCAATACATGATGTTTAGCTGTAGTTTCCCGCAGTGACTATACCATTTTACACTCCCATCAGCAGTGTGTGAGCTTCCCTCTGTCTATCTTTATCTTTACATGTTTTTCTTGCTTGGTCTTTAGTGCTTTCTGTGTCTTTTTATGTCCCTGTCTCTGTATCTGTGTCCCCCTGAGTCTATGTCAGTTTTCATCCTCCATTTGTCCTCAGTTGTCTCCCCCATTCTCCACCCCCAATAAGGCTTGACTTCTGTGTGACAGGGAGGGTTTACTGCCTTCATCCAGATTTCCTCCTTCCCCACAGGCCCCTGCCACCCTCCATGGCGCCCCTGGCCTTGGTGGGGTTTGCACTCCTCCTGGGGACTCCCCTGTGCTCAGGGGCAGCCACCCCGACCCCTTCCCTGCCACCTCCCCCAGCCAATGACAGTGATACCAGCACGGGGGGCTGTGAGGGCTCCAACCGCTGCCAGCCAGGGGTCCTGCTGCCCGTTTGGGAGCCCGATGACCCATCGCTAGGTGACAAAGCCGCGCGGGCTGTGGTCTACTTTGTGGCCATGGTCTACATGTTTCTGGGCGTGTCCATCATTGCCGATCGCTTCATGGCATCCATTGAGGTCATCACGTCAAAGGAAAAGGAAATCACTATCACCAAGGCCAACGGTGAGACCAGCGTGGGCACTGTCCGCATCTGGAACGAGACTGTGTCCAACCTCACACTCATGGCCCTGGGCTCCTCAGCGCCCGAGATCCTACTGTCTGTCATCGAGGTCTGTGGCCACAACTTCCAGGCCGGTGAGCTGGGCCCGGGCACCATCGTGGGCAGTGCTGCCTTCAACATGTTTGTGGTCATTGCTGTGTGCATCTATGTCATCCCGGCTGGTGAGAGCCGCAAGATCAAGCACTTGCGAGTCTTCTTCGTCACCGCCTCTTGGAGTATCTTCGCCTACGTCTGGCTTTATCTCATCCTT